CCTTGAGCTGCGATCGTGGCATGCTGAAGGCCAGCGGCACCCGGCCGTGCAGCGGGACCTTTGCCCCGATCGCTGAAAGCGGGGGCGGGGGGGTTGATCCAAAGGTCCCTTTCATGGGAGTAGTGGGGAAAACCACTCAGAAGAGGCTATTTTGCCACAAGGCTATTTGGGAAATCTTCCCACAAGGCTATGTTGCCATTTCCCACATGGAACAAAAATGACCCATGGTCATTTAGGGGCCCAACGGAATATTGATCAAGCCCCACATTGCGTCGCTTGAGGCCCACGCGAGAATGCGAGAGGCGCCAGGACATGGCACGCCTCTAAACACAAGACGTCGGGAAAAAAGGACGGAGCAAACGCCGGCCTAATGGAGACCATAGCTGTAAAGATGGCAGTACAGGCAGTGTTGCTTTGGCCTGCAGGGCTCATTGCTTCCTTAAAGAACTGTCGCTCTCTACAATCTCTGCATCGCATGGCCACGGGTCAAAAGCCCGTACCCCCAGTGAACATCCCCATCCCCACTAAAATCGACTAAAAAGGGTGGTGAATTCACCTACCCCAAAATGGGATCCCATTGATTTTGACCCACAGCCACACAGGTTTTCACTCTTCACGGTGCCACTCGCCTGCAGCTGCACGGTCTCCCTTCCACGGCCCAACGGGCAGGACGCCACGACGGCCACCTCCACCTGCTGCGGGCCGTCCGCGGAACGCAGGTCCACCGCCAGGACCTGAAGCTCCGTTCCGACGCGCAGGGCCGAACAAGATGACGTCTGCACAAGGGGAGTTTTCGGTGGAATCAGCCTTGGGTTCGGGGTGACAAGTGAAAAAAAGATGAACCCCTGAAGTCTTGAATCGTCTAGAAACCCAAACCGAGTTGGGCTCATAGGGCGCAGACTCCAGATCCCACCGGCTCCAGCACCACAGACGGGTCAGCAGTCCAGTGGTAGTCACAGCTCACACCAAACGCCGCCGCCGCGTTGGAGGCCTCGCTGTGGACTAAACCTTCTGAGAGCGCTTGATGTAGCGCTGCTTGGGTGGCAGCCTGAGCGGTGGCTGCAGAAATCAGGTCTACCCCTTTGAAACCTGTTGAAAAGGGAATCAGAAAAAATCGGCTGGGTTCTCCTATGTTCGCGTTGATGAGATGTGAACATTTGCACACGAAGGGCGGCTGTGATCAAGATCGCAAGAGCAGTCAAGCTACCTCAGTCGCCTCCACCACTGTCTCGCCCATGTCCAAAGCGGTGTTGAGCACTCGTCTGCTCCTCTCGTCCATGGTAGCTGGAGCTGCCTGTCGCCATGTCCGATGTCATTCAATTCTGTCATAGTACAATTGTATAACTCCAGATTCTTGAAGTTTGCGGGAGGTTTCTTGGGCAGCGGTTCTGCAAATCCTCCATGAACGGCTTCTTCTCTCTCGCTCTCTCATTCCTGCCTTGCTGGCTGCTAACCCCAGGAGCAAGGGCGTCAGCTCCAAGCTTCCTGAGCCAGGAAAACCCCTTGGCTGTGGTTCAAGATTAAACAAAACGCTGGTTTTAGTCTTTGGCTCCATTTGCCAAGCTGCATTTGTTTGACCCGCGTCCCCATCCTTTTTGCTTTTTGGTTCACTCTCCGTCCACCTTTCGCAGCCAAGGCGCCAGACCACAGCCGCGCTCTCAGCCGCAACGCCTCCGAGCCCTTCAGCAAGGCCGGCGCCGGCTCCAGGCCCGGCTCAGCTCCTCGCGCGCTCGAGGCGCCAAGGAGCTGCCGCCAACTTATCACCGACAGAAACACGCGAGGCACGATGCGTCTCGAATGGGAGTCCGACCAAAACGGAAAAGTGGCTGTGGGGCAAAAAGACGTACCAAAATGGGGCGCCCTGGTAAATGGAACCAAAGACTAAAACCTGCGGTTTGCCCTACCTCTTTAATTTTGAGCCACACCCAAGTGGGAACAACAAACATAAAAGTGGGAGGCGGCTCCAAGACAAACCAACACGAGCATTGCATCACTATTTTTTCAGGATCCCCTGTCGCTGCCTTCGGTCACCACCCAGCTGTATTAGTATTTGATCCCAAGTTGTTGGTCGCATGTTGTCTCTGAGTTGATGACAAGCTATAACATTGCGTGTGTGGGGACTTCGGATGCCCGACCACCGCTATCAGAGTGTAGTGAGCAGCTGCTGATTACCTACATCCAAATCAACGAGGTCCTGCCAGGGAGTGAATCCCCCCGATGGAGGCGCTGTTCGGCACGGTGACTGTGACGTGCGCTCCTGGCCCATCCCTTTCTGACTTGAAAACGACAGTTCAACATTGCCCTTGCCCTCGTAGAAACTTCAGATTCTCATGGAAATAGCTTGGGCTTCGTCCTAGTCTTCGTGCAAGATTACTTGTCGATTCGCTTGAACCTCAAGCTCTCTGGTACATCACTCCTTTCGGTCAAAGGAAACGATTCATTGCATGGGATCCCCAAAAGCCCAAATTTCCTCTCGGGGGGCAGGAGGTTGGGCCCAAATTTGGGGATCCGGGATAAGCCATTTCGTATTCGAATGTGTTTTTGTTGAGGTCAGGATTCCCTGTTCACTTTGGTTTCAATGGAAACCGAAAGGAGAACCACGAGCTTTCAGGTCTCCCTATGCTATCATATACCGTCTCAGACCCATCTTGCAAACGTCTGACAGGAATGGCTTATGCTGCTTCTGTCTCTTTGTATGTTCAACAAAACCCTGCTCTGTTTTAGTAAAACTTGGAGACAAGCCCCAAACCCTGTTGTGTGTATGGTATGGTCTGGTCTGGTCTGGTCTGGTATGGTAAGGTATAGCATTGAATGGCGTGACTTGGCTTGGCGTGGTATGGTAGAAAACGGTATAGACTAGTATGGTATGGTATGGTATAGTATGTAATGCAATGTCGCGCCGCGTCGTGTTGTGTTGTGTTATGTTGAGTTCTGTCATGCTATGCTGTGTTATGCGTGAATGTGTATCTAACGAATGTATGTGTGTATGCGTGTATGTGTGTATGCATGTATGTATGTATGTATGTATGTATGTATGTGTGTATGTATGTATGCATGCATGCATGCATGCATGTATGTATGTGTGCATGTGTGCATGTGTGCATGCGAGCATGTGTGTGGGTGTGTGCATGTGTGTGTGTGTGTGCGCGCATGGGCTCATGTGCGCAAAAGTGCATGTGCGCATGTGCGCATGTGCGCATGTGCGCATGTGTGCATGTGTGCATGTGTGCATGCGTGCATGCGTGCGTGCGTGCGTGTGTATGTATGTATGTATGCATGTATGCATGCATGTATGTATGTATGTGTTGACATGTATGTGTGTGTATGTGTATGTGCGCATGTGCGCATGTGCATGTGTGAATGTGTGCATGATGTGCATGTGTGCATGTGTGCATGATGTGCATGATGTGCATGTGTGCATGTGCATTTGTGCACGATGTGCATGTGTGCATGCGTGCATTTGTGCATGTCTCCATGTGTGTGTATGTCTGTATGTGTGTACATGTATGTCTGTCTGCCTCCCTGCCTGCCTGCCTGTCTGCATATATGCATGCATGCATGTCTGTGTGTGTGTATGTAGGTAGGTAGGTAGGTAGGTAGGTATGTATGTATACTTGTTATGTTATGTTATGGTATGTTATGTTATAATATGTTATGTCATAATATGTTATCTTATGTTGCGTATGTATGTATGTATGTATGTATGTATGTATGTATGAATGTATGTGTGTATGTGTGTATGTATGTATGTATGCATGTATGCATGTATGCATGTATGCATGTATGCATGTATGCATGTATGCATGTATGCTTGCATGCATGTATGCAAGTATGCATGTATGCCTGTATGCATGTATGCATGTATGCATGTATGTATGTATGTACGTATGCTTGTATACTTGTATGTCTGTATGTGTGTATGTTTGTATGTTTGTATGTGTGTATGTGTGTATGTTTGTATGTTTGTATGTATGTGTGTATGTTTGTATGTTTGTATCTATGTATCTATTTTTCTATGTATCTACGTACGTATGTATGTATGTATCTATGTATGTATGTATCTATGTATGTGCGTATGTACATATGTACGTATGTACGCATGTACGCATGTACGTATGTACGCATGTACGCATGTACGCATGTACGCATGTACGCATGTACGCATGTACGCATGTACGTATGTACGTACGTAGGTACGTAGGTAGGTAGGTAGGTAGGTAGGTAGGTAGGTAGGTAGGTATGTAGGTATGTAGGTATGTATGTAGGTATGTAGGTATGTAGGTATGTAGGTAGGTATGTAGGTATGTAGGTATGTAGGTATGTAGGTATGTAGGTATGTAGGTATGTAGGTATGTAGGTATGTAGGTATGTAGGTAGGTAGGTATGTAGGTATGTAGGTAGGTAGGTATGTAGGTATGTATGTATGTATATATGTATGTATGTATGTTATGCATGCATGCATGCATGTATGCAATTTTTTTTGTGTGTGTGTGTGTAAGTATGTAGTGTGTATGTACAATTTACGCATGTCATGTAATGGAATGGAATGGAATGGAATGCAGTGGACTGGAATGCAAAGTAATATTTTGCATTTGCGCACAAATCCCAAACCCCCCTCCCCACCTGCGCGGGCGATTTCGCGGCCACTGCTCCGATCGTGCAGGCGCACGTAGACATCCGCCTCCCCAGGAGAGAGGGCCGTAACCAGGCCCACATCCTCGTCGATGCCTTGTCAATAGCGCGTCTGTTTTTGAGGGTACCCCTTTTTCTTAAAACTACCTGTTTGGGGGTTCCCCTATTTTGAGACAGACCCAAAAGGGTCCGGATGCGCTTGAAATACTTGCAAGTGTTGAATAGAGGGTCGAAGTGGGTTTATCTTGAACATCACTAGCATCAAAGTTCGTGGAATCCCCAAGACTTGGTGTCCCTTTGCTCTCCCTGTGAAACATAAAACACGGGGGCTTCCTCTCAAAACACAAACACAAAAATAGAATGCCGGTGAGGAGGTGTCTGCTTCTGAGAATCCTGGGTTTAGCACTGGGACGAGCTTGCTGCAAGCAGAGTTGCTAGCAACCTGAGGGGAACTTGACACGTAGTCAAAGAAGGTCCGGTCATTGAATCTCGGAGGTCCCCCGGAAAATGCCAGATCGAAGGCTTGACCAGGCATCACTACGATCCTCTTCAGCACGACATCGAACCTCAAATCCGTGCCAAATGAACGCTGGCTCTCTTTGCTTCGAAGGCTGAGTTTCAGACGATGGCAAACATTGTACAGGAAGGATGCGAGAGTAGATGGTGCCATTGGGGTAGTCCTGCCAAGTTGCCATCACCCAACCTTTTGACTGGTCATTTGGAAGATGCAATGCTTCAAGGAGGAGGATTCAAGTGATGTCCACAGCCGCAGTCCTGCATTTCAGCGGAGAGTCGGTAGACTCCGGGTGTGTGGCAAACACACCTTACAGAGTTGGGCAACTCAAACACCCAGCTCAGCTTTCTTGACTTTGTGCCCTCGAGCATTCTCACTTTGCCGCCGAAGCCGCTCGTACTCGCCGCATCTGGTCGGACTTCGCTTGACCTCGAATGCTCCTTGGCATCGGCGCGTGACACACACACACACAGGTCACACAGGTCACAGCTGCAGTGAAGCCGGCCTGGGTCGCTGCTCCTCAACTTCAGCTTCAGCGGTTCCCAGTTCACCACGCCCAGCGCCTGACGTGAGGACAAGCGCCGGAGCGCGGGACAGGCGCGGGGCGCCAGAGGGAAAGAGAGAGAGAGAGAAAGACAAGTTGCTCAGCATGTCTTGCAACTCGTGCCATAGTGATATCTGGATCGATTTCTCGCGTGCTGCAGGATTGAAAGCCATGCCAAATGCTAAGACACAAAGGATCTGGAAGAATCAAAACATACCCATCACCTTTGTGATTCCTTTTGAGCGTGCTAAAAAAAATTGGCGGGCGCAAAACACCAACGAAAATCTTTCGGGGACGGCTGCGAGAAAAGCTTACACGAGTGGTGTCAACATAGCAAACGCCTACACGACGCTTACACGCATTGAGAAATTCGTGGAAGTTGGCGTTCGCATGATTTCGCTTATGCGAACACGGCAAAACCACAAAGGTAGAGCTGTTCAACTTGTGTTTTCGTTTACTCGAGCCTTTCGCGCTCTTCCCCGGCTTAGGAAAATCCAAATTTCCTCACGAATAGTACTTTCAAGTGCAGGAAATTTCTGAGCGCTGCTCTTCTGGAAAAGTCAACACACACGTTGTGGGCAACTTACCATTACTGCCGTAGCCATGGCCTGACCCTCAGCATCTCGCACGTCCACACGAAGCGGTCGGTGCTGGCCACGCACCACCAGCACGGCGCTGCCATCTGCAGGGGTCTCCTGGGATTGCAAGATCTGGCCATGGGTCAAAACCCCGTACCCCACGTGAACATCCCAATCCCCACTAAAATAGACTAAAATGGGTGGTGCACCTTCCCAAAATGGTACCATTGGTCTCTCCCTCGGCTCCCGCCTCATCCAAAAGCCCCACGTCCAGCTGCTTCGCCATGCGCAAGGTCACTTCCAGCGGCTGCGGGCGTGCTCCCAGCAGGTCTGGATCCCATAGGGCCAAAGAGGCAGTGCCTGCAGACTAGTAAGGCTCTTTGGGTCTTTGGCTCTATGTGGTGTCAACATAGGGGGGTTCAAGAAAACAGGTGCTCCTCTCGGCTCGCCTTATAACACCAAGGCTAAATGGGCCTCCTCAAAAACCACACATCCATGCATCTTGACGCTGCTCTCCGGGCTCGGCCTTGTGCAGTGGGCAGCAAAAACCACCGTTGGACATGAGGTGATCGGGTCGCATTGCAGGGCGATCCCACCCACAAAGCCTCGGGCATCGGCTCTGCCAGGCAGAAACCAACTCCCTTGCTCCTTTTCAGCGCTGGGGCCTTCGCTGGCACGCAGGGCTCGACAAAACCAGGCTCTCCGCAGATTTGCTGCGGTTCTAGGACCTGTCAGAGTCCGATGAGATGCCTGAAAGTGGGCACATGCTCAAGAGTCCTCAATTTTTGGGACCCCCCCCCAAAGAGGAAAGAAATATAGAGAGGGGGAGCTCCTGAGTGATGACTTTGTTCACATAAAACACTCTTTGTCCAAGTGAAAATGTTGTCCGATTCAATCCTTGTACAATGCAACTTTGGTTCCCAGCGCGCTCTATATTAGAAAACAGTGTTGGAAAGCAAATCCTATCTCAATCATGTGTTGCCTATCTGATTCGATGTGATTGTTTACGAAACTCGGGGAGGGATTCCAAGTTAAATTGCAGCTTCAAACTCAATCCAAAATCAACTTAACACCAATACGTGCAAAGCTAGCCGAGCCAAACCGTAGAATTGACTACACATCCAAAGCAGCCAAGAACCTCAAGCAAAACCAAACAACATCTGCCAGGAGAAAGATGTTTTCCGATTGAAACAAAACTCGAGAGAAAGAAAACAAAAACAAAAAGAGTTCCGGTTGACCCCACCTTTCCCATGGCAGATTGTTTGAGGCTTCTTGGCTTTCGTGGAACACCTTTCCCTTGGCTGTGGTGTTGCTTCTTCTCGAGGATGTTTGGTCTTCTGAGAAAGCCAATATATTGCCTGAGAAGCTGTAACTCGAATTCCAAAAAGCATCCTGTCACAACACCTGCAAAAATTAGAAAGCACACTTTCAAAAAAGAAACATCACTCAAAGGGTCCCTTTCTGAAAAGCGCATGCAGCGACACATGTGGTCTTGAAAACGCCGACCTCGAGGATGTCGTGGCCAGATAAAATCTCCAGCTGAGCTCGTCCCGTGCCAAATCCAGCTTCAAGGACAATGGACCTTACCGCGTCTGCGCACGTGCACGCGCCGCGTTGTGTACACACACACACACCTGCAGTCGATCCCCCTAGCCCGTGCGTCTGCGTGTGGGTGTGGGTGTGGGTGCTGGTGGGCGTTTACGTGTGTGCATCTCTCAATACCAAACAAGCCCAGAGGCAAATTTCGGAACATGGCGAAGCGCGCTCTATGCGGATGTCCGGGCCATCTCAATTCCTTGGCGTCGCGTATCACACTGCCGACAGTCAGCGCGTGAAAGTGTTGCTGCCACGGTCAAACCCTTTTTGTAGGGAGAACCTTCCCGGCTGCGGCGATCAACATCACCCAACTCCAGTTTCTCTCAAAATGTAGAGGTGAACCCCCCCAAAATGGCCGGTTTCCTCTCATTTCCCATCAAAACCCAGCCCCAACTCCAAGTCGCAAGCAGCCACAAAAGCAACCCCCCAAGGTGGCTGTGGGTCACAAATAGGTACCCAAAACGGTGGAACCCTGGTACATGGAACCAACAACTAGAATCTGCGGTCCGCTGGTAGGTTTATTTTGGCCCATGCCCAGTCGGGCCGAGGGGCGAGTTTTCGGGCCACCACCAGCGGCAGCTCATCGCTGCTGGGCAGCGGAAGGGCGGCCAGCGTGGCGGCCGACACGCAGAGGCTCGAGGGCGGCAAGGAGACCTCACGGAACCCGTAAGAACTGACGAAAGCCAAAAGGACATGAGCCATCAAAACCTGGTATCAAAATGGTCTACCTAAATCCATGTAGGTAAAGTAAAAGGCGTCATCTACCCGGGGTTTTGATTGTGGCTCACATGGGTGTGGCTCAAAATTATCGGACTCAGGGGTAGTTGCGCTTGGACCCCCGAGTCATCTGAGGACAGCAAATATGTTGAGAACGCCGCTTTTGTCAAACCCAAACTCAATGATATTGCCCTCCCACCAATTCACATGGAACCTGACAGGGGGTCCCTTTCAAAGGAAAATGGTCTTTCAGGACCCCGAATGTCAGGTTCCCTGCTAATTGGTGGGATTTCGTTGGCAAATCTTTTCCGTTCTCCGCCTCGAGTCTCAGCGTGGCAGTAGCCCCCACCGTGGCATCGCTTGGGACCGCGATAGAGGCAAAGGGCTCCTGAACGCGAGTGCTCTCTCTGAAGCTCCGTTGAGCGCTTTTGCAGGTGTCCTTCTTGTTCACATTGAGCCATGCCTGCAAGGTCATGGAAAGCTTCAAACCTAGCTTTGTGCCCGGCTATGCCTTTTCATTCGCCTGCCCCCTTCATGCACTGGTCAGCTGCGCCTTCTGGAAAAAGAGGCCTTCCTTGGACGTCGGGGTCAGAGACCAGCGCAGCCAATATTCCGAGGCATTCAGGATGGTCCTGTTGCGATGCGGGCCACCCTCATGTCCCTCCCAAATAAAGCATCGACTGCTCCATAGTTTGACCGAACCTCAGATATGGCCGTGGGTCAACACCAATGGTACCATTTTGGGCTAGGTGCACCACCCATTTTAGTCTATTTTAGTGGGGATTGGGATGTTCACTGGGGGGGTTTTGACCCATAGCCATATTTCCGCCAGCTTGATTGCCAGAGCCCGCCTTCCAAAGGCATCGACAAAGCGCGCCCGGAATGGGGTGTTGCGCCCACGCCTGTCAAAACCACCCAGATTGGCAAGTTGTGAAACACCTGCGGAGGCTCAACTGATCGGGGCTTGTGGCAAGGTGTCTATGCCGAAATCAGAAAACTCAAAGAACAAAACCTTGTCTGCGGGTGCATCACAACATATGTCATAATGGACCCTTTTGTGGGCATCATTTCATGTCCACCAATCACTTTTGAGGTGGTTCCCTGTTGAAATTCAAGGCCAGCTTCGACCATTGAGACACCAGAAAGGCTGGGCGCCCCACTGCACTCCCAAGGCCAGCTTTGGATCCTTGCGGGCTCGGTCTCAAAAGCTCATGGCTCGTGGCTCCATGCGCATACCGTTGATCCTGCAGCTGTCATCATGTTTGTGGTGAAATGGAATTTCTGAACAGGAGTGGTGAATAGTTGGCTTTCTTCACCCCATATGCTGAAACCAATAGCCAGTGGTTGGCTGCCGGCTGCTTTCACCAACTCTTCCCCGTGCTGTCAGCACTGGGTCCTTGTCAAGAATGCCTTCTGGCTCCGTCTCGTTCAGCTCAGCTACAGCCTGCCATCGCTTGAGTTGAAGGCGATTGACACCTGTGTCGGGAACCCCGTTTTGGTTGGTTTGAAAGGGAACGCGAAGGAAAGCCATCGATTTTGAGGGTTGCATTTGTTTATGCGGCCAAGCTTGCTTCACCGAGCGTGCCTGAACTCGGGCGGGAACGGAGCATCGCATCCACAGTGTCAGCTTGTCAACCTGGAGCGAAACGCCCATTGCCCATGAGCTCAAATTACTGGGTCCTTGTTTAGAGACAAAACACCCAACTAGGGTGCGGGTCAAAAATGGGTACCCAAAATGGGTTGCCCTGGTAAATGGAAACAAGCACTGAAACCTGCGGTTCCCTGGTTTAGTTTTGACCCATACCCATGTTTTCGGGCCAAACTCCAGACAAACCTAGGTCAGACTCGGAGAGATTCTTGGCCCTGGGGACTTGACAAAGACCTCGCCGTGCAACTTGTCCTTGGGCGCATGCCTGGCTTGTGGCAATGACCTTAAATGGCTGGGTCAAAATACGGGCACCCAAAAAAATGGGTGGGAGACCGAAACGGAACCCTGCAAAGTCACCCCAAGACATGGTACAGAGCCTCAAAAAGACGAGCCACCAAAATGCCCAAAGGCTGACTCAACTCAAGACGCCTGACTTCGCCAGTCAGCTGCACAGGTCCTGAAAGGTCGCACGATTTTGCGCAACCTGCATGCCATGTTCACTCGCTCTGTCTTTTATTGAGGGTAACCTTAGGCTGACTGTGATTCATAGCAACGGACATCAGGTGTTTGTCTTTTTCTGTTCTGTTTCTGGGAGTTCCCTATTTTAAGACACACCCAAATAATGCCAGTCCTGATGTGACTTGCATGCAGGTCACCTGGAAGCTCCGCTCGGACAGGCGCTGCCTGCAGTTTTCGAACTTCAGCATGGTTCGACCACTGGGTGTGGGTCAAGAATAGGGTGCCCAACATGGAATCCTGGCAAATGGAAACAAGAACTAAAACCTGCGGTCCGTTTATTGCTGGTTTAATTTTGACCCACCCCCAACTGAGTTGGCAAGATGCTAAGTGGATGGCACGCTGATGTGAGGGCCCACTGTAAGATTCCAGGAATGATGACCTGCAAGGCTCACAGAAAAACCGCAGCTCCTCGAGACCATTCCGATGCACTGATGGCTCTATCTTGTCTCATGCAAGCTCGTTGGCTGTGGGCCAAAAATGGGTGCCTCAATGGAAACATGGATTAAAACCTGCGGTCCCCCAGTTTAATTTTGACCTATACCCACATATGACGTGATCAAATTTGTGGCCACGGGCACGGCTCCTGTAGGAACTCGTGGTTGTCTAAATTCCCTAAAGAGTCTATGACCATCCCAGCCGAAAGCATGTGTTGTGACACCCGTGAGCTGTTTCGCAGGCCTGGAACGTTCATGCTCCGCGGGCCCCCAGACAAGCGCAGTCGAATGGAGGAGCATGGAGCCACGACCTGGTACCAATTGCAAGTGCCACAAGCTGGGGCTGAATTGCCCAATTGAGTCGAAGGGTGCTATGAGAAAAAGCTATCACCAAAGAAAATCCGCCATACCCGCAGCTTGTGCTTGGAAAAAACTGCGCCAAATTCAGCGTGCAGGCGGCAAAGAGATATTGTCGGGCCGTGTGAAGCCAAAGTCGCTTGGGGCAGAGGAATGTTGAGCTTTCACAATTCGAGTGTTCTTCCCTTGGGACCAGTCGGCTTTTGTTTTTGTGCCTGCGACAAAGAAACAGGAGTACTTGAGGGTTGTTTAATAGGGCAACTGTGAGAGGGTCGGTCATCAGGCGGAAAGCGTGCCTCGCGTCAAAGGCAGACCATGAGACACTCTGTCAATTGTTGGGAGGGATGGATATTTCCTTCCAAGTCAATCTGTCTCCAGGTTCTATTGTGGTTCCAGCGCAGGGGAGCAAGGATCCCTTTTGACAAGTGACTAAGAGCCTTACCAAAGCTGCGGACTGGTCAAGTCGGGCTGCAGCTAAAGCCTGGGAGCGTCCAAGCGAAACGCGTACGTGGCATCTCTCCCGTTGAGACCGGACCCAGGCCTCTTCCGCACCGCGGCCGAGATCTTTGACATCCAAAAGCTGCCACTCCACTGGCTTGTACACCTGGCGCAGCCATTGCTACAAATCTTTTGGTAGCGAATGCCGGATGAATATGCCGGTTTTACAAAATCAACCAAATGTTCTTATTCATCTGAGGTTCTCATTATCGTTCCCTTGGGAAGAACAGCTGGCCCAACGGAATTCCCAGCGGGCATTTTGCCGTGGGAAGCGGCCTCGAAGGGCAGAGGGGCGACAGGCAGCGGCTCCACTGCGTCGGCCTGACACTGAAGACCAGAAAAGCCAAAAAGGAGAACCAGAAATCAACCGAAAGATAAACAAGGAAACAAGCAAAGCTGCACAAAAATTTGAGTAGTATTGGCACTACTTGAGCGTTTTGAGGAATATATGCAGTTTGCGCGCGAAAGCTCAGACAAAGAAAGAAGACGCGAGAACTGCAGAACACAAACGGGGAGAAGAAGTGGCCTTGCGCAGTAACCCGGTTTTTCCACATGTGTGCACACCACCTGATGGAGCAGCGCCGGAACGGTCCCGGAACTACGGGACCTTTGTCATGGCCGCGCGCACTGCGCTGCAACCGTCAAAAAATGTCTGCGGAGTTTCGTGGGACCGATTTACGTGTTTCACAACAAACTAAGTGACTGACTGCCTGCCTGCCTGCCTGCCTGCCTGCCTGCCTGACTGACTGACTGACTGACTGACTGATGGGGAAGTAGAAGCGGCAGTCTGTCTAACCAACGATGTAGCTCACGGGCTAACTAGCTGACGCGAACTTGCTCAGCTGATGAGCCAGCTACGTGTCTGACTGCTAGCTGATATCCGACTGCTAGCTGCTCTCGCGAACGCCAGCAGCCCATCCAGCAAGCTAGCTAACGACCTGGCTCGCCAGCCTATACTAGATCCTAGGCAGCTAGAATGAACTGGCCAACTCGCACGCTAGTATTTGTCGTAGGCCAGGTCCAGAGCGGCGCAAGGCGACCGCAGGCCGCGCAAAACCTGGCCTGGGAGGCTTGAAAGTATGTTTATGGGTTTGGGTGTTGCTGGGCTCAAGTTGTGCTTGCGGGCAATTTTTCTCAAACAGGCCAGAAGCACCCCGAGCCAAGAAAACGGGACCAGAAAGTTAATTGACCCCCTGCCCAACCCTGGCTGCGGCATGCGCCCAAATTCCATGATTCAAGTTCAACACAGTTGTTTCCGAATGTTTCCCCCGCTCCAGTTGCAACAGGGCTAAGGTGGTTTGGGCTGGGCCGGGGGGCTTGGGGTGACTTAGGTGAGTTTAACGCACTTGTGTATGGCTGGGGATGGGATGGGGTACGGGGGGTTGAAGAATGGGATTTGAGTTGGCTTAGGGTGAGTTTAGCGTGGGCTTGACATTTAGGTTTGGTTTACGGCGGGCTTAGGGCGGTGGATGACGCGAAATTCAGCCGACGCGATCGGCCGACACTGGCGTAAAGTTTCGCCACCGAGAATGCGCAGCTCGGCCGACACATTTGCGAAACTCGGCCGAAACAGACAAGTGCGAGCTGTTCATCAAACGCCGTGCGCTCTGTTGCGGCGCGCAGGGCATCCAAGCAAACGCAGGTAGCGGATGGCCTTCGGGCGTGACGTGAGCCCCATGTACGGGCTCGCAAGTGCAAGGTACACTCTCTGCCCTGCAAGGTTGCCTGAACAAACAGTGTCTCCAAAGCCCTCAGCCAGTTGTCAGCCTCCTGGACAACGCCCACATACGCTTTGTCAAACGAGTCCTCAAGGCGCGTTTGACAGGTGTCCTGCCAGTCTGCCCTCTCACAGTCTGCCCTCTCACGGGCCAGCAAGCTGTTCTGATGTCCTGCCCTCAGCTGCAGCTTCCACTCTTTCCAAAAGCAACAGCTGCAGCAAGCAATAGAGGCCAGGCGATGGAAAAACTGTTTGTCGAATCTGCGCACTGACGCTGGTCCTCAAGCGGTTGCTTGCCAGCGGTCCACCCTGAGTCGTCAATTTTGGCAAAGAACAGGGCCGTTACCCTGAACCAACTCTAAACAAACCAACCTCAAAACAACCCGGAACCAACCCCTAAACCAAACCTAAACCGACCCCACACGGACAAGGAGCCAACTCTAGGCAGACACTAAACGCGCCCTAACCGGACCCTCAACCAACCCTTGAACAACCTTCAGCCAACCAACAGCCAGCAAAACTCACCCTAAACCACCCTAAGCCAACACCCTAAACTCACCCTAAACCAACCCAATCTACCTTCCACCTACCCGAAGCCTATCCTAAACCCGACCGCGAACGCCCTCACGCCAAAGCCGCCGACCTTAGATCAGAGCGCTTGCGGCGCAGAAAATTTGCCAGGACGCGCCGAGGCGCGAGCCCAAACCACGCGCCTTTCGCGGCGGCGGCTGCGACGTGTGTCCAACGCGGCTGGAGTTGCCACCTTGGTAAAAATGCTGACTGACCGCAAAGGGGCCCTGCTAACGTGTAACTTGATGATAAGCTCGCGGCGCCGGACTGCAGCCAGTCCAAGAAGCTTGGCACCTCCGCGGCGGGCGCTGCTCTTGCCCTGCCCGCCTGCCCTCCGCAGCCCAAAGCGGAGCCTCTTGGAAATCTCCGCCGCTCGCCTTGGCAGAAAACGGGGCTTCAACTTGCGCGCGGGACAGCGGCTCCAAGGGTCCGACCAAAAAGGAGGCGTCAGATGTCACCTCAAGACGTGGAAAAAACGCAGCCGAGCAAAACGGGCTCCGGGCGCCCGGCCCACAACTGCTCAACATCCTGCGCAAACGCGCGGCTCGCGCTTGCAACCCTTCGCAACAAGTGCGCCTCCAAAGCCAAATCTTCCCAGCGCGCGGACATGGCAAAGAAGACGTGTCGCGTGCCTTAGCTTGCAGGACGCCCGCCTAATGCGACCCCAACCCATGCCAAGGGGCGCAAGTTGCAAGCAAGACTTGATGCTTGAAAGCTGCGGCGGCCGCCGGTGAGTTGCATTTCTTCAACTATAGCTTGCAAAGAGCTCAGACGACGCCGACTTCAAGACTTGCGCCCCCGCGGCGCGCTGGGCAAGCCGCGCTGGCCTGAGAAGCCGACCATCCGACCCTCCAAACCATCCTGACCCTCCGGACCATCTGATCCGGAAACCTCTGTTACTTTCGCGCTCATGTTTTCCGAATTTCACAGTCATGTTTTCTGAATGTCGCGTGTCTGATTTCTGCAATTAAAAACTGCTTGCTGGTTTTGTTTGTATTGTTTTCGCGTCTGTTTTCTGAAAGTCGCTTTGCCCTCAGGGAGGGTGGTTTGAAGTAGGTTCAGGGTGGGTTTAAGGTGAGTTTGAGGTGGGCTTAGGGTAAGGGGCGTCAAGGTAGGTTCAGGGTAGGTGTAGGGTAGATTCAGGGTAGGCTGGCGCTGGTTTAGGGGGAGCTTCGGTTGAGGGTGGGTTTAGGGTTGGTTTAGGGTTGGTTCAGGGTTTAGGAGGTTAGGGTTGGGTGGGGAGGCTTGGGGTTTAAGGCAGATTTAGAGGATATCGGGTAGGTCGCTTAGGGTTGTTTAGGGTTGCTTACGTGGCTTTTAGGGCATGTCGCTTGCTTGCGCGCGCTTGTTCTTGCGCTCGCTTGCTCGCTCGCTTGGCTTGAATAATCCAATTTCAGCGGGGCAAACACATTAATTGATATAGCCCCAGGAAAAGAAGAAGAAAAAAACAGACGAAAGCGCCATGGAGGGTGGAGTTGTGAAAAGAGTATTTGCTTCATATAATTGCTCAAACGTATCAATTCTGCATCCGCATTCAATTGCCAAAAGACTGCAATTCCTCTGTGGAAAACCTCCAAGCAAACTTGTCCAACGATCTGCACTCCTCAAGCAATCTCGTAAAAACTCCAGGGTTCATGGGGCGTCTCCAGGATCTGGGGCATGGGGTCGCGGGTTTCGGTTCTTAAAAAAAAACGAGATGGTTCACACTTTTTGGAGAACTCGAAAGCCTGCGAGAACCTTCCAATGGTGTTTCCTGAGGTTTCTGTTTGTTTTTCCTCATGTGTCTCTGCCTGAAGTCTCCACTGCACACCCTACCCCGTTTTGTCCACTAGTATTCATTTAGTATTGCGCTTGGGCAACCTGTTTGGCACACGCATCCTGGATTGCAAGAACCCTGCATCACTAAGCCACACTGCCTTCTTGCCTTATGAACTCTACTTAATATATTTATCAAGTTCTACCCACTTTCCAAATTAAAACAGAATTCAATAAGAACATAATACAATCAGAATTTTGAATTAGAATCAAGTAATGATTCGCATTAAAATGTCACACAGGATATCCTTCCCCATAGACTTGTCCTTACAAATCAGGAAACAATTGAACACAATATTCAACAATGTTGGCACCTCAGCATTCTTTCCTTATGAACTCTTGGTTAACATCGTTATCAAATTATACTAAGAGACTACTACTTGGGAAATACTGAGGAAATACTTCGGGAATGCTAAGGGAATACTGGGGGCGTGCTGAGGGAAGCCTGGGGGTAAGAGAATACTAAAGGAATGGGGGAAATGGAATATGAAGGGAATAGTAGGGAAATTTCAGAGAATACAAGGGCATACTAGCGCAATACTAAGAAAATACCGAGATAATATGAAAGAAGTGGTAGGGAAACGCTGAGGAGATAAGAAAACTATCGGGAATGCAAAGGGAAATGCGATGAGATACTAGGGGAATACTGGGAGAGTACTAGGTGTACCAAAAAAGTACTAAGAAATACTAGGGCAATATTATGGGAATACTAGAGGAATGCTAGGGAAGTACTGAGGGAATACTGGAGGGGTATCGCTGTACTAGAGGGTATATCAAGAGAATGCTAAAGGAATGCTAGGGGAATACAGAGGGGGGGAATACCAGAGGAATACTAAGGGTGAATACCAGGAGAATACTAGGAAATTACAAAGGAAATGCTAGGGGAATGTTGAGCGAGTACTAAGGGAACACTGAGACTAGAGGGTATACCAAGAGAATACTACACCTGATCTGTCCAGGTCAAAATAAGCCTCAATGCAGCCTGCTTCATACTCTCATGCTTGAAACACAACACATTGCTACTTTTACAAAGTTTCATAACTGCACCTCCCCCCCCCCCTCGCACCCCGCTCTCGAAAGAAATACCAACATGGAAAAGGATGGATAAATAATTTCACGGAGAAACAAGAAAACGGAGAAGACATTGATGTAAAAAGTTCTCACGAACAGCGCTTTCTGGCCCTCCCTGTCAAGCGCTCCGTCCCTGTCCTCCTGCGCTCGGGCTGAGAGCTGGAAACGCCCCACCGCCAAAGGCCTGTGTACGAAAAGCATGCAGCTCCACGGTGATTCTCGAAACTCTCAAGATTGCAAGAATCTGCAAGGCTCTGCATTCTTGCATGAAAGGAAGTGAGCTGCCTGGCGAAAATGAGGGCGCAGGTGGCAAATCTGCCTGAGATGCGCGTCACTTCGGTGAGCCACTCCGTTTCGCGCGTGAATCCGCCAGGCTGCTGGAGGCGTTTGTGGAAACTGAGGCCACCTCAGCTGCCCGATCCGGACCAGCGCTGCTCCGAGGCTTGGGCCACAGGCCGAGCGATTGGAGACTTCAGCCACAAGGCGGTCTGTTGAGAACAGCGCGGAGCCTGAAAGCAAGCTCTACCGTGCTTGTGTATCTTTTCATCAAACACATCGCTTCAACCACTCTCTGAGTCTCGCGCAGTTCCAAAACGTCAAGTTTCCTAGGTGGCTGCGCTTGCTCAATGTGACATGCATGTATGATGGTGAGAGAACCAGACGTTCATGCACACAGGTGAAACAGTCTTGCCAAGGTGCGAAGCAGCCGGCACATTGCTTCACACACATCCGCATCCTCAGCGGCTCTCTCGCCGGGAGTTTCCCAGCTTTAGCGCGTTCACCAGCTGGCGAGGGGTCCGTGCCCAAACATGCGGCCAGCATCTGGCAAAGGCCAAAAAGAGGTGGTCAACGCAAAGTAAAATGCCTCGCGAGCCCATGACCTCATCATCCTCTGGCCGAGCCCTCACCCACACGGGCTCCTTGGCTCCAAAACTTTCAGCGCCCTTCAGCGACGGCTCTCTAACCGCAGGCGCTTGCAATAGAAGCTGAGCGGTCCTCGTGAGCTTTGGTCACTGCACGTGGTAGCAGAATCTGCAAGTAACGCGGCCTCGGTCAGGTGCGCGCAGTACAAAAATCACGCGCAGGCTGACAAAGAGCCTTAGACTGCAATCAAAACACTGCAGCAGCAATCGCCCAGCTCTCCGCACCAACACAGGCAGCGAGAGGTTGTTCTGAGGATTCCTGCGCACAGTCTGCTGCTGTCTCTCAAACCCACTTGCAAGCTGAGGATACAGAAGGTGATTCGACGCGGCAAGTGGTAATAGCAACTCATCTCAGAAATCCGGCGGCAGTTGCATGCAAACTGGCGCGTCACCAATCGAGTGAACCCCAACCCTGCTGCCACAAGTACCTTGCCTCTCGTCGTGGACTGAAAGCTCACCAGTGGCCAGCTGTCCAAAGGCCTGATGCAAAACTGGTTGGTTGCCGGATGGCTCACGCGGCCGTGGAACAGCGCTGGGATGTGGGCGCTTTTCGCAAAGGAGCTTTTTTGGGGCCTCTTTTCAAAGTACAAACCAATGACAAACCAGCGTTCTGTTGAGGCAAACCCGTTGGTCAATCGTAAGTATCGCGGGTTTTTCTGTTGATTGCTTCCTGATACAAAAGGTGATGAATAAACAGTAGTAGCATATTTGTTTCCATGTCTGTTTTTTTATGTCTATGAAAGCGCTGCTACGTCAGCCGCTTTTCTCGGTAAAGCGCATGGTGCGCCCCCTGAGCCATGGTGGCTCTGGAGCGTAGTAAAATGGTTTGCATGGAAAAGCAAAGGGAAACCCAGAGGCCAATGAGCTGCCCTTTTCACAGCTCACATTATTTTCTTTTGGCCTCACGGGTTTTCCACATTCCGGAGTGAATCATCTCCTCGAGCGGCTGCATGTTGCCACCACGCTTCGTGAGGATGTCAGCTATCATCACCGAGTGGGGCACCCAAGCGACTCTGGTGCCTGACTCACACAGCCCCTGCTTGATCACCTGCATCTCCAGCGCGGTCCGCCGATCCGCTGCATATCCAGCCATCTCCTTGCTCAGGTGGTCGTAGATGGATTTCGCGTCCACCACTGCCACGTTGCGCAGCTCTTCACTTTCGGGATTTCCGAACACCTTCAACCGCTTCTCCTGTAGCTTCTGCTCCCACTGCTTCAAGTTGAAGTTGTGGTCCACCAGTTCTTGATATAGGGTGACCGTCCACATCATCTCGCCCAAGCCCTTGCTGAGTGATTGAGTTTCGGCCGCCAGCGTGGAGTTGACGACTCGGTGGATCTTTCCTGACCTCCAGTGAATGAGGTTGCACTTCCCCTTCTCTCCGTTGGCGACCTTGCTCTCGTAGCTGATCACGCAGTAGCCACCCTGTGACTTGCCGTCCTTGACGTTCGCGTAGCTCGCGTCTGTCACCACACCCCAGCACAGATCTTCCTCTGGGATGTGTTGAATCCTGATGGCCAGCTCGGAGTTGGCCTTGACCTTGTCGATGCACTTGTTCAGGTCGATGATGTCCTCGACCGTCAACTGCCTCATACTTGATGCCACCAAACTTGCGATTGCTGCACAGTCTGGCCTTCCTTCTTTCGCCGCCCATGCCAGTGCACCAACTGCTGCTCTGGTGGCGTCCTTCTCGTCCTTGTTTGCGGCTTCCTTGGGTTGGGATTTCCGGCCAACCTCTAGCTTGACCGGCTCCAGTCTCTCGGTCACGTACTTCTTCATGTCGATGAGGAATCCACCCCGCTTGTCTGATCTTAGCCTTCTGCCATTGAATGAGACTCCGTTCTCCGCCTCATCCAGGTAGGTGAACTTGCCGAAGACAAACCTCTCGCGAAGCTGGTCGATCTTCTTGAAGAATGCAGGTTCCCCCATGAGCAACAGGTCGTCCACCTCCACGGTGGTCAACCCAATGAGCGACTTGCCACCGCCCGCCTTCTTCTCGAAGCACTTGAAAATGCACGGGTCGAACTCACTCTGCACCATCTCCAACTGCCTCAACGCTCTCTTCAGCGTCTTCCTCCAATGGGCTGGAGCGTCTCCCAGTCCATAGGCTCCTGCAAGCACTTCAATCAACTGCTCCATCTTCATCCCAGGAAGACCTCCACGTGGTTGGCGTGCATATAGTCTCCCTGATGGCCGTTGGAGCTTCTCCGATTGCATGAAGGCATTCTTCAGGTCTCCCACTGCAGTGCGCCATCCTCTGCTTGCTCCTATCTGCATGCACACCGCGATGTGGCTGGTTGTTGCCGTAGGGGCATGCCTGCAGAGCTGCATCAAATCTGGATCTTGATCTCCTCGAATGCACCATCGGCTCTTCCGTGAAGGCGGCTGTCCGGGTTGGTCTGCGGGTTTCCATCGGCGAACCAACCGTGATGGCAGGATCCTCTGACTCAGTCCAGCCTCTTGCAACTGTTGTGACACTTGCATTGATTCCTCCACCGACAGCACCTTCACCGCGTCCGTTGCTTGCACCTTGCTCCACTCCTCAGCATCTGCGACTCGCCATTGATCCCATTCTTCAGCTGGGATATCCTCCTCTCTCACTTCATCCGATCCTTTCTTGACCAGGTAGTGGAACTTCACGTCCAACTCTCCGATTAGCTTGAAGTCCGTGAAGCCTCTCCATTGCCGTGGTGGACCATCCATCACCTCCTTGCCGCTCCTTCTCCAATTGTCCACCACCGTCTTGTCTCCGTCATCGAACCTCATGTAGGTCTTGCGCTCTGCCAGGAGATTCCGCATGGGCATGGGCTGCCTGCTGGAGCTTCTCGGCACAAATCCTGCCGTGCGTGCGGTAACGTGCACCCGGCGGAGTGTCTTCACTGATTGGTGCCATTCCCAGTAGTCCTCCTCCTCGGTGGAATCCATGGGGTGCTCATCCACCGATGTCTCCACGAGCCCGTAGTATGGAGTTCCTGGCATCTTCTGAAGTCGAGCTCGTACCGGTCCATAGCCTTGAGGAAGTGGTCCTTCCTCTGGTCGTGAACTCCCTGGGACTCCTCCGGCTTCTACATCCTGTCCGCTGATCTCTCTTTCAGGTTCTGGACCTGCCAATGATGCCTCCTCTTGGGCCTCCTCAGGGGCTCCTCCCTCCTCACTGCTGCTGCTGCTGCTGCTGCTGCTACTGCTGCTGCTGCTGCTTATAGTCTCCTCTTCTGGTTGGTTGAGACGGGGCCTCCTCCGGGGCGGCTCATCCTGCTCCTCTTCCTCTTCTGGGGGATTGCTCCACTGACTGATGTCCTTGTAAGCTCTCTTGCTGGGGGCTCTATTGAGCGAAGCTCTCAGTTCGTTGAACTCCTCCTCTAGCAAACCGGCCGCCTCGCTTTCCTCATTGGTGGCGCTTCGAACTTGCTCCACAGCGCACTTCCATAGTTCTCCTCTCATAGACACCCATGCGTTGGGACCCTCGGTCATAACGATGACTCCTGGTCCAACCCATACAGGCCTCCTCAGCTCTCTAGCTTCTGCATGGTCGTCCTCCTCTTTTCCTTTCTTCCTTGGCAATGGGCTGCGGTACACATATACCAACTCTCCTTGGGCGAAGCTCCTCAGCTGCCGCGGTCTTGCCTTCATAGCCTTATCCATTGCCGCTTCTGCTCCTGCTCGAATGAAGGCCTCCATTGCTCTTCTCCGAATTTCCAAAACTTTCCTCACCGGCTCTCCTGCACCTGCAACGAGCAAGGCGGGGTCATAGGGATCGTCACTTCCAAGAGTTCCAGGAAGTCGGGCGTTCTCTCCCAGCATGCGTTGTGCTGGGCTGAATCCGCTTTTGTGGAACAGCCGGTTCTTGGCGGATTCCACAGCGTAAATGCACTGCTTCCACTCCTCTAAATTCAAAGGTGGGGACTCCTCTCTCATCTTCAGGAACGTGTTCTTCGCTAGGCCTCCATGTCGTTCGGTTCTTCCCTGCTGCCATGGGGCTCGAGCCCCTATCGTCTTGTGAGCGGCTCCAGACTGCATCATCTTGTCCGCAAAGGCTCCCAAGAATTCACGGCCTTGATCACAGACGACAATGTTGGGCATACCGAACGTGCGACCCCAGCTTCTGTTGAACGCGCTCCATGCCTCCTCCGCTGTCTTTCCCATCATCGGCTCGAGCATCTGATAGCATGTTCCCCAACAGACCATATTCAGCACCGGCTTCGCCTCCCGGGGGTTGATGCCCGGAAAGTACACCACGTCTACTCCAAGGACTTCTCCAGCTTGTAGACACCGAGGCGGCACCGCTGGCCTCGCGGCTTTGGGTCGCACCTGCGACTCACACACGCTGCATCTGAAGTCCTTCTGCACGTACTTCCACACCGGAGCCCGGGCTCTCGCCAGCCTCAGCATCCTCGCAAAATCGGGAATGGAGGGATGCCCCAGTTTGGAATGGAGCGCTTTGATCATCTTCTTCTCTCCTGGTGTCAGCACCTCAGCGGGCTCTTTGCCCTGGGCCTCCTCTTCCTCCTCTGGGGCTGCTTCACGCTGCTGCTCCTCCTCATCTGCTGCGGCTTGAGCCTGTGGTGCTGGGGGCTCTTCTCCATCCTCTTCACCATGAAAGATGGTCACCATCACCGGGGCTGGACCCTCAGGTATTTTGGCTTGCACCTCCCATGAGCACCACGAAGCATAGCTTTCCACCTCTTTCCAACCTTCCTCATTCCAGATCCACGTAGACCTCTTTGGATGCTTCTTCTCGGAGACTTTTCCTTTGGTGTTCTGAAAGCGGTGTCCTTGGTGGGTGACTCGAACCACGTCTCCGCCTTTTCCTGGTTGCCATGCGGCTCCTCGAGAAAGCTTCTCTACTTCTTGTTGATCGTAACTTGGGCATTCTCTCCTCACCTTCTCCTCTCGCAGACCTCGTAGCATGGCCACACATAGCTGCTTGGGGTACTCCTGCGCTTTCTTGGCCAATCCCTGCAGAAGATGCACATGTTCGTGGGCTCCCGAACATCGTAGTGATAAGCGTTTGGCCAGCTCCTCCCCGGTAACCATGAAGTCTGTGGGCTTCCGATTGGGTCCACCTCCCACATGCAGTCCGTATTGGCATTGATCGGCTCGCACCTTCTGAACTCCTGGGAGACCAAGCACCCTCTGGACACACTCCTCCTTCCACGCCATACTGGTAGAAGGATGTTCAAAGATGGCCCACTTTTTCCGACGAACTTGCCATTCGTAGATCTTCATGCTGAACTCCAAGTGCTCCACCGCCTCTGCCAGCATGACGATCGCCTTGCCTCCTTGCATCCGAGGGTAGTTCCAGCGCTGCAGTGACGAGAAGGGACCACACGGAGGGCATACCACCACCAGATCTGGGTCCTCCTTCTTCAGCTGTTCCCAGCATCTCCTCTTACCTTCCGAAGTCCGCAGATCGTAGCCGTTCACCAAATCAAACGAGGTTCCAGCTTTCATGCCCATCTTTTGAGCTTCCTGCGCGACCCTCGGCTGGGAGAACACCTCCGACACCACCAGATCCTTCAGGGCCCTCTGAACCTTCTTCCACTGTCTCTTTCCTAGCGACCTCCTTCTCTCCTCCTGATCCAAGTCGTCCAAGTTCTCCTCTGCAAAGATGCCGTAGACCTCCTTCTCCTCGTCTTCTGGTAGTAGTCCTTCTTCTCTCCTCGCCTGTCCATTCTCCACCACCCAATAGGCTCCACGAACTCGTTGTGCATGAGGTGGTTGGGCTTCATCCTCCAGTTGCATCTTGATCCAGTTGTTCCTCATGCTGCTGCTGACAATCCTCGAAGCCCAGGGGGCGCACCTTATCTCCTCCAGTTCTTTCACTCCATGGGATGGTCCTTCTCCAACTCTTTCTTGCGTACCTCTGCAAATGCCATTTGCCGCTGCAGCTCCTGCGCTTTGGCCATGACCTGCTGATGCACTTCCGGGTCCTCCAGGATCTCCCGGGTCCGCTCTTCTCCCATAGCCGCGGTCATGAACGTCATCTGCGATTGCATGTGCTGCAGCTGCAATTGGTGATTTCCGGTCTTCTCCGCCATCTCGAGCTCGTGCTTCGCGATCGTGGCCCTCAGTGCTTCTTCGTACCTGGCCTCGGCTTCTTGGATCACCTCTTGCCTCACTCTCTGGGCGATCTTCTCCTCCTTTTCTGTATTTGCCACCTCCGCCAGGTTCTGGATCACCGCCGCCTTGAGTGCCTGCTGCTCCAGCTCGTCCCACTGGAAGAACTCGCACACCATTGCCCTGCACCTCCAGAAATGTCGACCTTTCGTGGGCCCGTCTTTCTTCACCAGATGCCGTTGGGCTGGCATCCGACATTGGCATAGAACCGTGGGGGTCTCCTTGGGCGTGCTGTCCGTGATCGCGTCCTTCTTCACCTGCTTCTCCCGCGTCTTCTTCTGCACCGGCTCCATCTGCTTCTCGGTTGTATGCCATCGTTGATGACACATTCCGCACCAGATCTCGCGGGAGAATTGGTTTCCTCCACCCTTGAGCATTGCTGCCGGATGGAAGCAATCCGCCACCTTCAGCTGCGGTGGTTCCTTGCACTTGCGCCGGTTGAGCATCGGGGCATTCTTGATCACCTGGGCGTAGTGGACTTGCTTGTCGCTGGCCTCTATCTCGCCTTTCTGCTCGGCAGACTTCGACTGCAGTTCTGAGTGGAAGGGCTTGTACGCCTGTCCCATAGACGAAGATGAGCCATGCGAGTATCCACCTAGTTGCTCGGCTGCCGCTCCACTTCCCAACTTGCTGACGAGTGCCACCAGGTCGCAAACTCCCTGTAAAAGCACGCGCCAGTTTCGAATTGCTCGCCTCCCGTTGTGCTCCGGGTGCTCCTTGGGCTCCCCCGGCTCGTCGAGGTTCGTCTTGATGATGCGGTTGAGGAGCATCATGGCGAGATACACTTCGGCAGAAACTACCAAGTACCATGAGGTTCTCATCAATCATGGCTTCGGCAGTCCACCCATGCCAGCTGAACCCGACCTTTTTGCACTCCCTATACATCTCCTCAACTCGACCGTGCTGAAGGGCTTCCCGGGGAAGTTTCCATTTTCCCTGATGAAAATCACACACATCTACTGCGACGTGACCAGTGGGTAGCCGGTGAAGGGGTGCCTCAGCTTCCAACCTGGGGAACTCAATCTTCATGTCATGCAAATCAATGATGCTCTCCAAGGCGGTCAGAAGCGAAATGGGGATTAGCAGTGGAACTGATTCCTCGACAACGGTCACTTCAAGCACTCCGTTGATGCCGGCGATACCAAGAGGAACCTCTGCCATGCCGCACACTGAAGCCTGACCTCCTATACCTCTGGCTTTCCCGGTTTTCTGGAGGGGGTTCACCTTCAGTCCATGACGCTTGAGTTCCCCTTGCAGGTTTTCCAGCGCCCTTTTCCCAATCAGGCCGCCCTGTGCGGCCGTGTCCACCACTCCTTGGTGGCTCTGCATGGTGATGCCGGTGAACTCCTCAATCTCGATCTGCTTGGCTTTCTGGTTGATGATGCTGCCCAAGGTGACCTCGCAACCGAAATGGGTCTCATCATCCGGGGGTTCTGTCGACACCTGGAAGAAACCGCTGGGTGCTGCTGAAGATGGTGATCCTGACGATGAGGCGAGCCGGGCCTTGTTCTTGGCGACCTCGTCCATTTCACCTCGGCATTCTCGGGCCCAATGCCCGACCTTTCCACACTTCGCGCACCTGGTTCGAAGCTTCAACATCTCCACGTGAACATGCCGACCTCGCCCTTCACCGCGGCCTTTGCTCTTGCCCTTGCCCTTGCCCTTGGTGGGGTAGTAGCCGCGGGAGTTCTTCTGGTCTCGGATCGCCTTCCTCACCTCCTGATAGGTCGCAAGCGCCTCCATGAGCTCTTCTTCCTCATAGATCTCGTTCAGCTCTCCTTCTCCAAGAAACACATATCCCTCATCGTCCGCAGCATCCCACTCGTCGCCCCACTCGTTGCCACCGTACATCACGTCCTTCTCGGTGTCCTCATCGTCGACTAAGTAGCTCCGTCCCCCTTTCTCCTTCTGCACCTTCTCCAACTTCCGAAGAGCTCCTACCACTGATCCCCGGTCATACTGACCGCTGATCCAGGTGGCAACTTGATCTTCTTGCACCTGACTAAGGTTGGCCTGCCGGTAAATCACATAGCCCGTCACCTTGGTGTCCAACTCGATGCCCTCATCCTTCAGCTCCCTGAACGCGGCGTCCGCTCTGATCACAAACTCCCCGAACGCCTCTTTGGCTCGCCTAGGCTCGCCGTAGATCGCCTTCTCAAAGGCCTTGGGCACCGCCGTCTCCAGATAGGGCTCGAAGTGCTCCTTCAACTTGGCTATGATCTTGTCCAACCCGGTCTCCTTGACTATCTCATCCACCTGGATCTCATCTACCGCCGACTTGGCTGCTCCACTGAGCTGCCGGTAGACCTTCGTCCCGTGCTTCACCTTCGGCACGTCTGTGTCATGCTTCCACAAGGTCAGCTCCCTCAGCCATCCCTTGAACTTCTCCACGCTGCCGTCAAAAGTCGGAGCTGGGTCCCTGTCCTTGAACGGGGAAGTCTGCCCCTCGGTCCCCTCGGCCATGGCTCGCAAACAAACCAGTGGCTCCGCCTACCACTATGAAAGCGCTGCTACGTCAGCCGCTTTTCTCGGTAAAGCGCATGGTGCGCCCCCTGAGCCATGGTGGCTCTGGAGCGTAGTAAAATGGTTTGCATGGAAAAGCAAAGGGAAACCCAGAGGCCAATGAGCTGCCCTTTTCACAATGTCCAATAAGTCTATTAACATCCGGATTATTCCTTCAGGATCCTCTGGTCCTTGGTCAACCTCTTGCACGCTGGTCCCTGGCGCCAAACAGCTGGCGCCGCCCATGAGAAAGGAGGGCGAGTATTCAGAACACGCTTCTATGGCCAAACAAAAGCTTGCGTTGCAGCTAGATCTCCGCGCAGTCGCAAATCGCAAGCAAGCGCTTGCGCGCCACAGGGCCTACGCAATGAGCGACTGGACAGGGTCCCGGTTCCGTGGCTGAAGCGCTCGCTTTGCGCGCTGCCAACGCAGAAGGTCCGAGGGCCGCGCGGCCGCGGCACGCGCCGCAGACCAACAACTCCAACAACCTGAGCCTCCGCTAAACTTCCACAGCGGCAGAAACCTTCAACTGCTCACAAGGTCGACCGTGCTTCATGGCCGCGCGGCGCGTCACCAAACGTTCCTCTGCGACTGCTTGAGATTTGCAGTCAGGCTTAGTTCCGCTCGCTGCAAGGCAACGTCTGCCAAACTTCAAGTTGGAAGATCCTGGTCGCCGAACGAGATCAAACGTGAGGTCAGGGCAATCTTGGTGCTTCGACCGCGACCCGTCGCCTGCTTGAGCGCGAAGCTTGTCCGGCCGTCAATCCAGCAAACGGCCCGGAGGCGCGTTCGTTCAACCGGCTCCGTCTGCAAAGCAGGCCTCCTTTTCCGAGGAGAGAGAACAACTCATCCGTGGTGGAAAACTCCGGCCAGCCGCGCGCATCTGTCGCGAAATTTGCAAATCTGCCAGGCATTCAACCTCCGAGTCGATGGACATCTGCAGTTTCCTTCACAAGGACTTGCCCTGACTGACGCCATGGCAGCAAGGCATACGGGGAGGAAAGAAAATCGGCTGGAGCCATGGCTGAATACGCCGGCATGGCTCAGACTTTGTATGCTTGAGAGACCCTCTCCAACCAACCATGCTCCTCAAGCTGAGAAAGCTTATCACATAGGCGTTGCTGGAACCCCGATAAAACCAGGTAGCAGAACTGCCTACTAAAATTGCCAATAGGTCAACTGAGACATGGAAGGCTCAAGCAAAGTCCTTCAATGAGCCACGGGTCGGTCTCCCCCAACGGGCCCAAGCCGTGGGCTAGGCTTCCAAACAAGCCAAGTTGGCTTGGCTACAAAACAAATCATTGAAATGCCGTGCCTGCACACGGCCATTTGGTGACACGCTGATGGCTTTTGCCGGCTGCGAATGGACAGCAAAGACCTGCAGGGACAAACTGCTGTGCTCGACTGAGAAGAGATCAACACCTGTTAGAATTTGACTCTGCCAAAGCCAACATGGGTAGAACCCTTTACTACCCTGGTCAACACGGGTGCTGCTTCTCAACTGAGTTGTGTCATCCAGCGACGGCCTGTCGACCACTGCCTCCTACAACTTGAAGCAAGTAGGAATGCCACCTGCAGTTGACAAAAAATGAAACTTGAAATGCACACTAGAACAAAAACAAAACAAACAACAAAAACTATCACAACACAAGAACGCGAACGCACAAACACGCAAACGCAGGAACGCGCGAACGAACAAACAAACAAACAAACAAACAAACAAACAAACAAACAAACAAACAAACAAACAAACACGCAAACACCTGCATGCGCCTGGGTAGCAGCATTGGCCCCTCCACAGGCACAACAGGTCGAAGCTGAGGTGCTACCACGAAGGCCTGTGGTATTTCGAGCATTTCGCCCCAGTGCTTCAGCATTTCGTCTCTGGACATTGCTGGGTGTCGCCCAAAATCGCCCCCGCCCTTTTGGCAAAACCAACCAGTCATGTGTCGCACTGTCCCCCCAAGGTTCGATTTGCTGGTAGCCGCCAAGAATCACTGAAACCCAGAGGTTCTGTGAGAAAAGTGAAACTTCCGTCGCTGTCCTTTTTGAAGCCGACGAGGGGACGACCGAGCCCGCCTGTTTGGCCATCAGCTTCAGGGCCAGGCTCTTCCGTCCCCGGGCCTTTGGTGGCATCCGAACTTAACCGGGGTTGCGAGAAGGGGAAGGCGGCGCAAGAGGTGGGTGCCCCTGTCTTTAGGTGGGACAGTGGAAAAGCATGTTGTGAAACCACCAGGCAAGGTGTTCCTTCATAATTCGTCACGGCTCAACCGGAAGCGCAAATGCCACAAGGCAATCACTGCAGGCCTTGTCCTGGTCATCCGCTTGGAGGGTGAGGTTCTTGATGATGATGTGGCCCTCCACTCATAAACATTTGGGAAGGCGCATGGCGGGAATACTGAACACCATCCAAAAGCAAACATGACTTCCTACAAGACGCCTTTCTTGGAGCCCTCCGGCTCCCCGCTCACAAGGGACATCAACCAAACCCATGTCCCATTTTCCAGGTGGTCTCCGCGCCTCGCCGAGCTCGACCGCTCTGAAGATGAACACCGCCGAGTTGGACGCCTCCGATTTGGCACTGCCCCAAAAACCCAAGCCGAAGTCCTGGCACCTGCCTGATGCAGCAACTGCAGCTGCGGATCAGCGCCAGCTGCCTCGCGAACGCAACGCGCTGGGGGGATTTGGCTGTCAAACACATGTTACCTTGGCAAGTGGAACCAAAGACAAAAACCTGCATACAAAGGGTTTTCGGGAAACCAACAGGAAACCACCCTTTGGGAGTACCCTCGGTTTTTGGACCAACCCCGGCCAGGTAAAGGTCATGGTTGCGAATCGGCGGAAATGAAGCAACGGAACGCCTCGCAGCGCGCGCCAGCTCGAAGATTCAAGGGGATTTGCCTCAGCGGCGCCTCTACTTCTTGCTTAGACCAGTCTAAAGATCTCAGCCAAACATGTCCCTCAAAAACCAAACACCTGCAGAGCGGCATTAGCTGCGAGTTCTTGTCCAAAAGCTCTAGCTTCAAGGCGTATGTCCTAGAGAACTGCAAGACATTTGCCCCGAAGTGAGGAGCATCACCACCACCACCACCACTTTCCATGCACCTTGCAACAACTCGCCACCAAGTCGGAATTGACTGCGGTCCTTCCCTGCACCAGCTGCAGCACTGGCTCAGCCTTGGATTGTCAATCGTAACCTGGCAAATGTGGACATGTGTCCAACATGATGTCATAGTCACCTTGATAACCCTTTAATTCCGCCCGCAGACATGTGAGCACCCAGGTTTGCTGGCTGTCAGCTACTTTTTGGCCAATAATGCCCAGCAGCTGAGGACACCCCGGAAGTAGCAGAGCGCAGCACATGCAACTCCTCTTCCTCCCAACCACTCTCAACGCTTCCGAGCCAACCTGCACGCAGGATTGAGAAGCCTTTTGTGGACATCAACAACACCCGGATTCCCGTCCAACCAATTGAGAACTCAAAATAGGAGACCCCTCAAAACGGTGGTGGTCCTTTTGCTTTCCCTTTTAACCAACAAAAAGGGTGTACCCTCAAACAAGGTTTCACTCACGTGTCAAGAAACAGAGCAAGCTTATGCACATCGCATTGCCTGGTGTGGAGCCGATCGTAGGAACACCAGCCCCATGCCACAATGGTTGCGTCCAAAAGCGAAGCGAAGCTGGCTGGGACACCTGGGATTGAAGAGAATGGCTTCCAATTCGATTGATGATTGCGTCGGTCAACTGATGATCAAAGCTGAGGCCATGCACATGAATAACCGAGGCGGCAGTGTTGTTCTCGATTCCTTGCAAAGAATACAAAGCGGTGATGACATCACTGACCCTACAAACAGGAGGGCCTTCCAGGTTTCATACCTTTCTGCCAAGCATCTTCCATCCACGGCAAGTACGCGTCCGGAGCCCAGCCGCTGAGTAACCACTCGACCCATCTCTGGCTGAACATAAAGCACATCTTCACCGCCTCCGAAACAAGAGCCACTATCAAAACCCGTCGTTCTACTGGATGTGAATATGCAAAAGCCACCCCCCTATGGGGTTGATTAATGGGTCAACATTCGTCTGGATGTTTCGACCAGTGTGTTTAGCCTCGCTGCTTGTTGTAGCGGGGAGTGGGTCCCCAGCCTTCTACTGGCTGCACATGCCACCGGAAGTGCTCCACGGGTAGCTGAACGGGAGGAAACTCCTGCGAATCCAACTCGGTTCGATTGGTTTTAAGGGAAACCGAAAGAAATGCCCCAGTGAACATGACTAAAATGGGTGGATTGGTCTTGAACTATGGCCAAATGGCTAGACCACGTGGGTCTGTCCTTTGTTAAAAGAGTACCCGTTTTTTAGGTGGGTTTAAGGGAAAACCACAATGAAACCAACCATTTTGGAGGTCCCTTTCCTTATTTTTCGACGTTCCCAGTTCGCCTCCAATGGTCGGCGTGGGCCGCGGAGCACTTTCAGCTGAAGCTGCAAATGAGCCATGGGAGGTGCGAGTAGTAAAGATGGGATAACTACCTGACCAATCGGGAATGCCATTTGGACGCTTGGAATGCAAATCCACATCTAGCGGTGGCACTAAGTGTAGACCAAGTCGCGATGTTTTCCAGGACTGTTAGCAGCACTTCAGGGGACACGATGGGCTTCTTGTCAATGGTCAGATTTGCACCGACTGTTGTCCTGCGATTTTTGTTGTCGCTGTTATTGAAATGTTGTCGTGGAAGGTACCCCCCCTGGTTGTCCTGCAAATGCGACAAATGCGACAAATGCCTTGGGCGAAGCAGGGGAAAGCATCCAGTCCTTCCAGTGGAAATGCCCTGCAACAGCACAGTGTCGGGCTGTACACCTGCCTGACAGCACTGCGGAAAATACACAATATCGCATCAGTTCTGTGCCAGTGCTCCATGCCGCGGTGTCAGAATCAGGAACCTCGAAATGCCTTGTTTCCAATTGGCATCTTCATAACAGAAAAGTCCCTGATTCTTTTCTCGTGTGGACTCAAATCTCCTTCCTTCTTGCCCTGGTTGTCTTGGAACTCCCAAGCCGCGAGTCCAATTCGGGGCTTTGGTCCTGGCCTCGGCCAGGAAGCGCCGCACGGGGCTCAGCTTGAAGGCCGAGTCCACCAACTTGGGGCTCTTCAGCACCGAGGAGTCCCCGATGCGCCACCGGAACCTCGCTCCGAAACCGGTCCAAGCGGTCCAAGCGGGGCCGGGTCTGTCGGTCCAGTTGTTTGTTGGAGGTGATGGGAAGGGGAGTGCCATGGATCAAAAGAGGTGGCAAAATATTTGGCATGCAGGATGTTGCGGATGTGATGAAGGAGAACCAAGAGGAAAACCGCAGCCATCTGGGGTCCCCTGACAAAAGACACGACGAAAATTGGCCAAGTGGCTGCAAACCTTCCAGGGATGAGAAGACATTGCCCTGCTTGTCGTAAGCCTGGCTTACGAACAAACAAACAGCCTGGAGTCCTTTTGGGCAGAGCTGTTGCCCCAGCCTTCACTCCCAGAGTCTCCACATCATCCACATTTATTCTGCGGACTGATGTCTCCACCTCGCAAAATCATGCAGGCCAACCCTTGGTACTCTTGAAGTCACTCTGCCAACTGTCAACCACTCACTCAGTGCAACCAATGCCTCTATTCGTTCGATACTTGCAATGTACACCTCGCATCCTGAGTGTGCAAGCACTGCATATGCTGGGGGTTGAAAATCCAACTTGACCAAGCTTCTGAGCTCGACCCCCGGAGAATTGATATCTTGCGCTAGAACAAGGACCTTCTCCACGTTGTCGACACTCTCTGCAAGGCTTCGGATAATCGCAACCGGCTGGCCTAAGATTGGCCCTTTAATCTTCTGCAAACAACATCGTTGGATAAAAAACCTCGACTTTAAAACAAAAATGTTGCATGAGCCACGGTGCAACCATCGTCCGCTGGGGTCGTCTCGTCGGGCAACAAAAACTGCCGGCCAGCGTGTAAGCAGGCCTGCGCCGCACATGGCACTCAGCAAATGAGTACTTCATCTCGGTTTCTGGCTACTTCAAACTCGAAAGGCCTCAGTTCTGCGCATTGGCAAAAATGGCTGCGACCTCTTGGGACAAAACGTCGAACGCTTTTAACTTCTCTAGCGGCTGAAAATCTAGTTCCGGGTGAACATTCCTTGCGAGTCTCTGGCCACTGCCCGATTTTCCCTGTGCGCGCACAAGCCCCTGTGAAGCCGGCAAAGGCCAAACAGTGAAATGGGATGCCTTTTGCGTTGGTGCGCAAACGAGGCATGGGAATAGTGGTTCAGCGGCCAAAGGTCTGAAAACCAAAAGCATTCTCGTGGTTTGTTCCGTTTGAAACGCAAGGTAAACATAAAAGGGCTGGTGGATTGTCTTTGACAGAGGCAAGAGTCTCAAGCCGACTACATCCACGAACGTGGATGCAAAAGCCGTTTGCGTGTTGAGCTTCAAGACCCAGCTTTCTTCAGAACCACTTGGCATGCGTGGTCACACCAAGCGTATCTAAACACGGACACCTCTCACTGCCTCCATGAAATGCTTCTGGTCAAAGAATAGGTTGCGTTTTGTTGGATCTATGAATCGAGCAGCGAAAGCCCAAATTGTTTCTGGCTTGCGGGATCCTCTCCAATATTCACACGATACCATAAGAATCATTGTAACGTATGTGTGAACATAGAAGCACATTGATCCACATTGGTAACTTGAAGCTGACATGGGGTGCGCCAGAATATGTTCCGAATGTTGGCAAACAATGTGTGTGTGTGTGTGTGTGTGTCGTGCACCTTAAACTCATCAGCATCAGTTGTGTGTGTGTGTGTGATATTTCCGTGATGTCATTCAGCTATCATTTGGAGACCGTAAAACCTATCTACCATATTGGTTGGCTCTGGCAGAAGCCCTCAAGTCCCCACAGGCCCATAGGCAACTCCTGTTTAGCGCAAGACGCGATTCAGTGAACCACTGCTATGTGTCTCATTTGCTTTCTTGATCTCGTCTTGAACAGCAAAAGCTCGTTGGCAAAACTATTTTCGCGAATTCGACGACTTGAGAATTGCAGGCCTGCCTTTCCTATCCTGCCCTCCTGACTGGCTCAGAGCCCACAAGTAAACCAACCAACAAGCTAGTAAATTGCACGGCTTGCCATACTGGGTGTCTCTTTTTTGGAGAACCCCTTTTGGTTGGTTTCAAGCAGAAACAGCAGAAACCAAAAGGAGACCTGTCATTTTGGGGATTCGGCCAAATTGGGAACCCAAATCTATGATTTCCCTCTGGCTTCTTTGTAAGATAACCGACATGGAGTTGTTCACCTTTTTGTCTAGGAGTTGGTACCCTTCTGTGGGCTTGCTTACGGAGTCCCCGGAGGGTAACCTTGTCTTATGCCCCCGAGTTGTTTTGTTGCTTTCCCCTTGGTTTCTCTTTCGACCCCAAACAAAAGTTCGAGGGTACTCCCAAATTCAAAATTTTGAGGGTACTCTCAAATTTGCTTGGTGTCCCGTTTCTCTTTAAAACATAACGGTCGCCTGGCAAGAACATAGTGATCTCCCATTCAAAAAAAGCAAGAAAATAGTGATCTCCCGTTGTGATGTGCAGATTTTCGGGTTTCGAGGGTCGTTGCCTGCCAAAAAAAGCAAGAAAATAGTCATTTCCCACTCCAAAAAAGCAAGAAAATAGTGATCTCGTTGTGATTTGCAGATTTCCGGGTTTCGAGGGTCGTCGCCTCCAAAAAAAGCAAGAAAATATTGATTTTCCATTCCAAAAAAGCAAGAAAATAGTGATCTCCCGTTGTGATTTGCAGATTTGCGGGTTTTGAGGGTCGTCGCCTGGAAAAAAAGCAAGAAAATAGTGATCTCCCACTCCAAAAAAGCAAGAAAATAGTGATCTCCCGCTGTGATTTGCAGATTTCCTGGTTTCGAGGGTTTATCACAATTGTCTTGCTTTTTGTTTCACAATTTTCTTGCTATTTTCTTGCTATTTCTGGTCTCTTGTTTGCTTCATTCTTGCTTTTTTAGTGCCCACTGTTTGCTCTAAAATCACTTTTTTCTTGCTTTTTTTTCCCACCCGAAACTTGGGATCACTATTTTCTTGCTCTGTTGCTTGCTCTACATCTCACAAAAAAAAAAAGCATTTTCCAATGGTTGGCTGGTTTCGCAAGTCTTAAACATAACCTTTTTCAGGGGCACCCCCAGGAAAGGACAGATCCACGTTTCTTTGGATCCGCGTTTTCCCCCCAAGGACGAGCCCCGAACCCGCCTCCTGGCACGCCGCCTCCGCCTGGGCCTCCGCGGGGCGCCGGGGCGGCAGCTCCTCGTGCAAAGGCTCCTCCACCGCTACCAGGTCCGGCCTCACGCGTCGCTCTCCGAACCACGCGAGGCGCCGGGTGTGGGGCGGGCGGCTTAAAGGGAAACCCAAGGGAAAGCTTTTGGCACTCTTTTTGGGGGGTCTGTTCAAAACAACAGTTGAACAACTCGCATTATGATTTTGGTTTGGTTTGGGGGAAAACAAAAGTTGAAGCTGGCATTTTGATGTTTGTTTGGGGGAAGCTTTTTGGGGAAGGCCAGCCGAGAGAAAAATGGAACGAGAAGGAACTGATCGAAGATGTTGACAAGGGACAAGTCTCAAGCTTCCGCATGTGAGACTTGCTCTGAAAACGCCACAGCAAGCATCGAAGATTCGGCCTCTGGGACACCCATCGGAAGCAGCCCCCTGATGCCTGCAGTGCAGCTGGCACGCCCAATACATGCAACAGCCGGTGTCTTTGCTTTAACCCGGTAATTCGGACTAGACATTGCCTGCTCCCTTACTGTCGGTTTGGGATCTTGGCATTCGCACCATGCGACATCTCCCCTGCCTCCACCCGTAAGCGTGCGCCTGCACCAATGGTGCCATTGGCACGGCCTGCGAGCAAATATTAGTGCAAGCGTGTAGCTCAGACTGGCGGTCGCCCCACCCGCCTGGACCGCGTGCTGGAAGCAATGCTGTAACTACCGAGATCTTTGGCTCAGCGATCGCTGGCACCCATGCCTTGGGGGCAGCTAGTGCACATGGAATCGCTAAAGAGAAGCTCAACCCCTGCCCGCTTTGGCGCGTCTACCCTCCATCAGTCGCCCGTCTAAGATGCTGCAATCCCAACTTCTCGCTGAGACACCAGGACAAGGCCGAGTACCACATGGCAACGACCCATCGCAAAACTGCTGTGCGATACTCTGGACTGGGCTTAATCAGTGATGTTGCGCTCTGTCTGAGCATGCAACAAGTCTTCAAAAATAATCCCTCTGTGAGATAGCCACACGGAGCAACCTGGCTGGTCTGTCACACGTGTTGAAGCTTTGGCCAGGCTTTGTTGGCACGTGATAAAGTGTGCTGAAGCCAACATGCCAAGGCAGTAGTCACCGTCCGGAATATCCGAAAGAGGCACAAACAAGGCATAGTGCGAAGCACACAACAAAAGCATGAATTGTGCATGTTGGGCTACTAAAAAAAGCACTGCAAGCCTACGGGTCTGCGCAAACGCCAGAAATGTCAGCTCCAAGCTCTCCGCTTTTTCCTCAACATACGGCTCCACATGGTCTCAGTCACGGCGCCGCCGCCGCCGGCTCCGCGAACGGCTGCGGGTCTCGTCCGCAGCACTGGCCGGGTTCAAGCCATGAAATTAGTTTGGGCGGCTTCCCCCAACAAATGGCGGCTGTCCTTTTGGTGTCCCTTTAAACCAAAAGCTGTTATAGACATCATGGGGATTTGTGCCACAGTTTCAAGAATGTTCCCCTTGTGAGAGCTCATACCTATGTGAAATACAGCAAAACGAGGGGAGGCAAAAGGGGCCATGGGAATGGCTATGACCAAAACAAGGTGAACAGCTTTTCCATAAATTCTACACAGTGTTATCACCCCCGCAGGCTAAGGCAGCATTTCCGTGACACGTCTCGCAGGCAACAACGACGAGCGACAGCCAACTCCAGACACCCAGGTGCGCAGGCGCTCGCCTGGGCGCTCCAGGTGGAGGGTAGCCGCCATAAGGGTACCCTGGAGGTGGATAGCCATACGCCTGGCCCAATGCACGGTGTGACCCCAAAGAACCCAGTCAGGTGGTGGCCCAAAGAACCCAGTGAGCTCAACGATGCCAGGTATGCCGCATAGTAGTCAGGTGGCGGTGGGGGATAGTAGCCTGGGCGAAATCATGTTGCGCATACGAGCCCTGGGATAGATGGCCACATGGTGAAGTGCCCAGTTTGCTTCAGACAATGAGGCAGCTACCATAGGGGTAACCACCATAGGCTGGTGGAGGATATCCTGGATAGCCTGCCAGTTGGCGCTTGTCTAGGCATCGCATCGCACAAGGTGAAATCAACAACCAGTCACTCAAGACTTCATCCAAAAAGCTGCATACGGCGGCGTGCCTCCATATCCGGCCTCAGACGTCATCAACGCAAACATATGGCCATGGGTGAAAAGCCCGTACCCCCAGTGAACATCCCAATCCACACTAAAATAGGTTCTCAAATGGAGGTGCACCTACCCCAAATTGGGATCCCATTGGTTTTGACCCACAAACACATATCGGGCGTCGCCAAAGTTGGAACATTGACTTCTTGGCGCGCAGCCGGCGGTGGGTAGTAGCCTGCCAGCTCCAAACCAGGCCCAAAGGCGACCCAAAATCAGATCTGCCTGGTGGAGGACCATGCGGCGGATACGAGGGCGGGGGATAGCCTGGAACATTTTCTTCGAGCGCCAGTCAGGAAGTCTATGGAGCTGGCACTGATGTCTTGGCACCCCGCGATCGTCATCGTCATCCTCATGTCATGTTTTGCCAAACTGGAAGCAAAACACGAGATCTGGGCCTTGCCAGTGTCCCGAGATCGCATCACTTCCTGCACTCTGCACTCAGAAGCCAGGCAGTCGGATGTGTCTTAATTGGAGGGACACCCCCTCTTGGGGTTGTTCAAAGGGGCCATCAGCCCCCCCCCGTTTAGACGGAAACGATGGCGGGCGTCCTGCGGCATGCAGCGCTTCACCTCCACCCACTTGTTGTCAATCTTGTTCTGTTTGTCGTTGCTAAGTGCAGCCTGCGAGGAGCTTTGGACATCAACTCGCAGGTGCTGGAGGTGGTGTTCTGGAAGCCGCCAAAAAAAAAACAGCTTGGCGGGCGCGCGCATTTTTGAGACACGTGTGTCTTCAGTGGGGGTTCCCCGTTTTTGGCGGTTCAGGGAAGCCAAAAGGAAAAGACACACCCGTTCCCCAACTTTTTGCAGCCACGCCGGACGCCGGCCCGGTGCACGTGCGTGAAAACCCGCTAAAGATGAGACGAATGTAACGGACAATCTGTAGCCTTGGGCTGCAAACTGTCCATATTGCCTGGATATCCTGGATCAAAGGCTTCGCTTTGACGAGCTGTCCTGGAGATGTATCTGTAGCAACGTAGCGCAGGCAACATCGGCTCAAAAGCGAACCAAATCACCAGGAGAATCCAGCCATGCTGGCGAAATCACATGCGTCAGGTCAGCAGGGGTTGCCTGGCACGGTGGGTTGACATGTCACTAACTTCTGCATCGCTTCTGTGGTAATCGTGGCTGCTCTAAACGGGTTGCAATGGATATGACATTGTGTAGGACAATGACAATTGGCACAATAGAATAAGAGGCCTGAAAGGATACTTTCCAGCAAATGTTCCGCCCTGGTGGCATCGCAAAGAGGTAGATCGATACACCCCCTTTTTAAACAACACTCACATGACCTTCCAGCTTGCCGAGTCGCCCTCGCCTCGTTGAAATCTGCGGATGTCAAGCCCACACCCAAACGCCCAAAGGCTTTGGCCTCATTGTCCAAAAGCCAAGCACTTCTATCACGCTTCCAGGTCTCCACGTGCAGCCAGGTTGATTGAAATTCATAAATCAGACTTTGAGGTCTTCTCGGGGACGCATGGAATCCTTCACAACTCTTTGCCCAGCCCAGAAAAGCTGTCGTCCTCTCGAGGCGTGGACTGTCAAGTTTGTGGCAAGCAGCGAGAGCTGCGGCGCAACCTACATGCAGCGAGAAAAACTGACCCCAAGGCTCCCAGAGAAAGGCTCTGAAGGTACCTGGAGGGGTTCTGATCGAAAGGTGGCAGGGAAACAGGGAAATGGGGAAGTTGCAAACTCCCGCAGACTGCACAAGCCAAGGACCTCACCTTGCAATCCTCCGTGGATCTGGCAATGTGCACCTGACCCGGGCTTGCCGATCGTCGATTCAGCTCCCTTTGCTCTTTTTTTCTTTTGCAGTACTGGCTGATGCGTTTCTTGTCAATCAAGCTTGCAATGCGACGCTTGCAATCAGTCCCCTCCAGTGCCCAAACAAGCCCTCGACCTCTCGGATATTCCGTGATCCCACCTGCTTGTTGCGGCGGTCGAAGACGGTGAAATAATACCGCAGGAACGGCATGCCCAGGATGAAGACTTCACCAAACTGAGATTCCTGCCAGAGGTTCCGCATACAGCAAGCTGAAACAAGACATGCCTAGTCAACCTCACGTGCCTTGTCCACCTTCATGAAAGCCCCTCGACAAACCGGGCTGCCGTCATCGTCTGTGACCTGAAAGATGTTAACTTCAAGCACATAGCATTGCAAAAGGCGTGCCTTGAAGATGTATGCCCGGGGAGGCAGAACCACCTTTCAAGTCTTTGCACAGTCCCAGCATTCCACGACTCCTTCCACGTGTCTGCCCTTTGCCATGGCTGAGTCGCAGACCTCGGCGCCGTCAAGCTCGAAATAGAGCGTGGGAAGCTCGTCCAAATTGCTGCAGTCGCTCCTTACCTGGGAAAGTGCTGCCCTCGTTACGGTCACATGCCAAAGTCCTAGTCCTGCTAGACTATTGCTTGGGGTCGGGACTAGTGAACACGACAGGATGCTTCAAAAAGCGCCCAAATGAGCCCCATTACCTCCATCCAGGTGCAGATTTGTGGGCGATGTCCCACAACGTCAATGTCACTTAAGCGGCCTTTACTGTCCCCTCCGTTTTTGCGTCTCTTTCACATGAATGATGGGATCCCAGGATGAATCAATGGAGGGTGTCCCATGTTGGAGAAGCCTTCACGTTCGGGGGGCACACCCCCATCCAGAGTCAGCATGAAGTTCTTTCACGAGCCTTGGGGGTACTTTGCAGAAGCATCGATTAAGTCCAGAAGCACCCTAGAAGGAAAATCGATGTCAACTTGAGGGGGGTCCAAATAAGTCTGCCTTGTTTGAGGGTATCCTCTTTTGGTTGGTATGAAGGGAAAGGGAAAAAAACACCACTCAACCACCATTTTGGGGGGGGGCTCCCCTAAGAAAAGCCACGCCCAAATCCGCACCGGCCCCGGCCTTGCGCTTCAGAGCCTCCGTGATGTGACTGGCAGATCTCGGGAAGGTCAGCAGGGAGGTGCCCGAGTCGATCAGCGCACCGCCTCCGGTTTCGGGGGGTTTCGCTTTGGGTTTCGGCCCCGGGTCCAGAGAGACACGCCTTGGGGTTGGAAGGAAGGGAAACCGAAAGGACGGCAAATGGCTTCTCTGCGATAAAAATGGCTTTGACGCGAAATGGAGAAAGAAGCCCACGAGATGGAGCAGAAAACCACCCCAAAATGGGTACCCTCAAAAAAACGAGGAGAGTTAGCCACTCCCAGTGCCTAGTGGGAAACACCGGGGACTCGATTGCCCAACAGCGACAGTCAGATTCCGCAGCTGGCCGACTCCCATCTTGCCATCACTGGCATGCTGAGTTCGCATCAGGAGGGCTGGCAAAGGCCGGAGGTGTCAATTCCATCCAGATCTACCTGCGAAATCACGGCCGGCTGAATCAACTTGCGCACTCCCCGGCCTTGAACTTCGACAGCCTTGTGGCCCAATGGCTGTCACCGGACACATCCACGGTTTGGAAGCCTTCGAATCGCAGAACTGTGGCCTAGAAAGGTCGCTCCAGCTCGACGCTCGCAAGCGAGCCTCGATCACGAGAAATGGCGCTGATGGACGGTCCAAACCTCGGAGCGCAAGCTGACCGGCGCATCGCGTTAGGCGCTTTCGTCGCGTTGCCCCGAAGCGCGAAGCTGCTGCTGAGGCGCTTCAGCCATCCTGGGCCAGCCAGGCCACCTACGGGTTGTAGGCCAAAGCTGTCATGCCCCGCTTTGCTCAAAGGGCCAATCTTGGACCCAGAAAATCGGACCTTGATATTTACAGAGCACGGCCGGGATACAAGAATTGCCAGGAGAAGAGAGATGCGAAGAGCTGAAGGGAAGAAGAGCAAGGGGAGAGAGTTCAAAGCAATCAATCAAGAATCGCAGCCGTTTTGCTCTAAACAATATGGCTGTGGGTCAAACATAGGTACCCAAAATGGGACCCAGGTAAATGGAACTAAGAACTAAAATTCGCGGTCCCCTGGTGTTGTAATTTTGACCCACACCCATATGCACTTCGAACTGCTGACCTTGTTACTAAGCCACCTGAAACGTGACTTTTCCGGAAGATTGGGGTTGAGAGCCTACTTTGGGTCCAAGTCTGGCCCCTTCGCACGCCTCGCTGGTAGCAAAGTGCAAAGGCATCCAGATGCATCTCCTCCAACAAAGACCTGGCCAATCACATCGCCGAGGCCCGCAAGCTTCAAGAGCCGCAAACCGTGCAAAGCTGTATCCTACACACTCCGTACGCTCCACCTACCTCATGACAATCATTGATGAAACCAAATCCGAAAGTATTTTTCCCCCGCGACGCTTCTTCCCTGGGTACGAGTCCTGCCTGATAAATTGATCGAAACACCTAGTGAATTCTTGGCACCAGCCAACGGGTCTCCTTTGTGAGTCCACTCTGTCAGTGCAGAATCTTTCCGGCAAAAATATTATCAGGTACAATCACACTGCAAGAAGTGATCGAAACAGAATCTGGCACGCAGCCCCAGATATGCATGGGTGTGTGTGTGTGTGTATTTCTGAGGATACCTGTTTTTGGTGGGTTTTGAAAGAGAAACCAAAATGAAAACCACCATTTCGGAGGGGGTCGCACAAAAAAAAGACACACCCATATCTTGCAATCTTTGATGGCGCGGCCGGTCTTGCGCGGCATCTCCGCTGAAGCCATCTGGAATCTTCTTCCTTACATGAGTTGAATGCCGATGGATTCTGGAAGGCTGCCCAAAGGACCCAGAAATACAAGGTTCACCTTTTTGGGCCATGGCCAAAAATGGACCAACAGAGGGGAACCCGAAAGGTTTATCAGGTTGGTTCTAGTGAGTTGAAAGCAGCACGACTAGTTGCGTCTAGCCACAGCTAGAAAAAGAAAAGACGTCGTGTCAATCATATGGGTGTGGCTCAAAATCAAACAGGAGGGGCAAACCGCAGGTTTTGGTCCATGTTTCACTTCCCGGGGTTCCATTTTGGTACCCGCCGGTGTTCTGAGCCACAACCATATGGGGCCTGAAGCCTGAGAATTGAGTCAAGCTTCACATGTGAGAGCCCTACGATGCCCGAAAAAATCGCCTCAGCCGAAGGCATGGTGAGCCCGCCGCCACGTTGCCCCGAGGCCGCCACGTTGCCGGTCTGCCAGAACTTCAGTTCATGGCTCTGCACCATCCAGAAGGTCATGTCATTTGCGGCGACCGGCGAATCTCCTTGGAGACCAAAAACACATTGGAGTTCGGGTCAAAACCCTGTACCCCTGGTGAACCTCAAAATCGCTGGCAGATGGATGTTCATCCACCCCAAAATGAAGCCATAGGTTGTACCCCATGGCCACATGCGTCTGGGTCAAAGATTAAACCACCAGGGCATCGCAGGTCCGGGGCTCCATTCTGGGTACCTTTTGTTCACCCACAGCCACATGGTGCCTACCGTGCTTTACCCAAGCCAACACGCATGGAAGAACATTTGTGGCCCAGAGTCTGCCGCCCAGGCGAAGAGTCTCAAAGCCCTGCGCGGCAGCAAAGTGCGCTGCTCGCGAAAATCCGCCCTTCGGCCTCCGCGGTGACCACGTCGCCGCTGACGAACTCGTGCTCCGCGACGACCTGAGCGAGGCGATGCGGCACGGTGAGCTCCCCACTGGCTTGCACAAAGGCAACAAAAGCCCTTGAACGACGCGTGTTCTGTAAGGTTCGCACGTGGCTGGGACTATCACGGAAGGATGCAGACTTTTGAAAGTCATACCTCATGTCTGTCAGGTTGAAAACCAGTTGTTTCTTTCCGCTGCAATTCCAATGCAACCAGGTGTCATTTCAAGACTTTTGAGACAGCTGGTGCACTTAGTTGATAGCACCAGTACCTGCATTCAGATCAAGTTTCTATGGCCGAATCAACACATGGCGAAGGGACCGTCATCGCTGCTTGTACACAGCTGTTGAGCCCTTGGAACACAAAGTGCATCACTGGCCTCAAACGAGCCAGTGTCGAAGATCATTGGCAATTCCTGTTCACCTGAATGCCGATGCTGGCAACGTTGCAAACCAATATGCCTACCATCAAGCCATTTGTGTCAGACCGCCAATTGTGAAGCGCCCACTGTACTGCACGTTGTAGTGATTGCTAAGCCTCAGCTTCGAAGCAGAGACCGAGTTGTCACATTCTGCACCAGCATCTAAACACAGGCACACAGCAGCCATGCCCTGACTGCTTCCAGAACATGTTCATGAGAATAGGCACTTGCTACACAGGATGCAATGCCACCGCCAAGGAATAGGCTTGTTGCGAGGTGCTGTTGTTTTACCGTTGTCCCTGCAAGCCGGTGATCTGTGCACACGTCAGCCTGTCAGAAAGGCGGTCATGTATGCAACTCTTTCCTTTTCAGATGTGCGGCCGGATGCTGTACTCCCGGTCTGGAGTAACAAACTCCTGACGCTGTCAAACATAGACAGAATATGAACCTGTTCAAGCACTTCAAGCTAGATAGGCAATTGCTCTGCATTCTCCTGTTGGCCAGCATCACTCAACTTTGCGTCTCTGATATCATCTTTGCCCTGTCAAGGCATCAACTAACAGTTCCCAGCAGTCTTTCTGAAATGGCCTTCTCGGCAAAGAGCTTAGCGGACGCTACATCGACATCCTGACTGTTGAACTCTTAGATTCTCCAAATGCAGAAGAAAGGCCAGGCCTGGTCTGACTTCGTCCTAACTTGTTTGGCAATGTGCACTGCACTCACCTCATCCCGCAGAGAAAAGTGGCTCATACACTTGGTGGTTTGAGGCGGTCTCGGTGCTCTCAAAACGCCTGAGACAAAGGCCGTCGCACGGAACGAGTTGCCAGAAGGTGCCTCTTGATAAGCAAAGGCGCATGAGCTGGATAATCACATTCACACATGGAGCTGGCTCACAAGCACATCCTTCGCAGGGTAGCCCGGCATGCGCGGGCATCTGGTGGTGAATGTGGGGCCGAATAACATCCTTCGCCTTGGACCAGTGAGGCAAACCGGCTGTTGGCCTCCAGAACAAACAAAGCGCTGAGGCAGAATCCTGGCTCGCCATCTTCGCTGACGAAGCCAGCTGGACCTGGCGCATGCCCTCTGCGCGCTTTGGCGGTGGGGTGAATGCCAGAAGCCCAAAGAAAACCACTCCTTTGGGGTGTCTGGCAAACTCCAGTCGCATCCCTTGCAGCCAGAAGACCAGTGAGAGCAAAGTGATGGACCTGACTAAAGCTCCCCGAATCCAAAGCCAAGCAAATCGACAAAAATATGGCAGAAGAACTGAGATTGTCACCATGACCACCTCGGAGCCATTGGCCTCTCCACAGATCTCATGCGCCAAAAAGCATCCACAAGTTGCAGGTGTCAAACAAAAACAGCCGCGCACGCATATGGAAAGCGTTCATTTGACCAAGGGCCAAGTTGCTTCACTGCACCCGTTGCTTGGAACTTGAATTCCAAGCCTTTGAGCAAAAGGCTGTCAGCAGCTCCTGCTGCACAGCTGCCTGGTGCCGGCTGAGCCAGATTGCAACACCCGTGCTGCCCGTATGCTTAAAGCGTACCAAAACAGGAAAAATTGGTGTCTCAAAATATGGGCATGCATTTTAGTTAGGGACCCTTTGGTCCACCAACCACTTTCTGTGGCACTTGCCCGACGGCCTCTGCTGCTACGATAGACGGATAGGGGCGCTCGCCTCAGCAAGCCAGGCACAAGCCAGCCAAGTCATCTCCGCATCGCAGCCTCCAACAGGAAGCTCTGCCTGCTGTAACTGCAACCCAGTTGCCCGCGCTCAGCCAAGCCACATGGTGCCCAGCGAACCCTTGAGCCATAATCGTGATGCAGCATGCGCTTGCAAAGGATGGTTTGGGACTGGATTCACGCACTCTTGATTTTGCGCTTCGAAAGGATGATTTGAGACTTGACTCGCGCACTCTTCGTCGTAAAAAAAAGGAAGAAACAAGAAGAAGAGACTGGCAATCAAAGTCTGCAGAAAGCTTTGGCCTCTACACTCTTGGGATCCTTGAAGGTCACAAAGCCAAAGCCACGATGCCTGCAGCTGGGCGCGCCAGGCTCTGATATCCAAGCCCAATCTACGGTCTGTCTTTTTCGGGGGAACCGCTTTTTGGTTGGTTTCAAGCAGAGGGTCCCCGAAAAAACACACACCCACATCTTCATTCTGGCATTCGCCGCCTCTGCGTCTGCGCATCCATCATAACCTCACAGCAAGCACAGGTGGCCTTTTCGACAAATAGATGGCCCTGAAGAATGACGTCTCGCTTCATTGGATGGCTCCACAAAATCTGCTTCGACCCACTTGGGATTGGTGGTTCATCAACCAGAATGAACCCCGTCCAAAACCAGTGGAACCCATCTATTCTTAATCAAACGAACCTCAAAAGGACAGGTCTGACAGCAGGCGAAGCAGCTCTCAGCGCACCAGACAGCCGGCCGTTTCGGCCAGCCGAAATCGGTGAGCGCCCGGCCACGGCGTCGTGGATCTCCCCGAACTGCCCGAAGTGGCCCTTCAGCTTCTCGAGGTCGCAGGAAGCTGGCAGACCACCCTGCCAGGTCCAAATCCCAGCAGAGCACGGCAAAAAAAGAGATCCAAAGAGAACGCTCAAGGGTGGTTCAAAGCTAGCCAGGATGTCAACAAAGATCTTCACGACGTTGAACTTGCCGCTGCCACCCCCTGAATCCTGCGATACCAAAGCAGTTGCTGCAAACGCAACGGTAGCGGTGAATTTCTGTACCTGGCGGTCTTGTCTGCCGCCTTGCCGAGTCTCTCGCATAGCCTGAAAACGGGGAATGCATTTTTGGTGACTCCCTTCCAAGTGCTCTGTCTCAGGAGGTGGCCCGCTTGCAAGCAATGGTAGTCCCATCAATGGTATGCGTGGCACCTGAGATACAAAATGATAGCTGATATGCTGGAAAGACCAGCTTCCTCAAAGCCAATAGAACCTTTACCCTGTTCTAGCTGCGTATTTTTGGCATCCAGCAAACAAGGTGTGCACACCAAAGGCTATGGGATTCTTACTGTAATTGCGCGGGTTCTGATCAGGTTTGCATCGTGCGTTACGAGGATTCGTTCTCACTGCCGTGCGAGATCGGCGAACGGCGGACTTTGGCGCGTCGGAGTGCTCTAGCTGTGGCGCGGTGCCAACTTTTAAAGTCAAAGCTACACCTCTGCGGACTTTGGGTGCGTCGGATCATTCGCGGACCTTAGCTGCGTTGTATGGCCCTCGCGCCGCGCGAATGTTAAATGATGATCATCGAAAGTGAAGACCCTCTGAAAGAGCTCTTGCACACGACCTTGAACACGCTTTCCTCAAGAGATCCTTTACAAGATCTGCCATATGGATCCTATCTATGAGCCCTTGTGAGTGATCGTCCAGCAAGAGTCTGGTAGAGGACTTGCAACCACATTCTGTGGAGGACTCTGTATCGAGATCCTCCCGAGAAACCTTGTACATAAATCCTTGTTAGAGATCATGCAGCGACTTGCGCAGAACCACATGAGTTCCTTCTTAAAGACCTGGTTATCAAAGATATTGTAGAGGACCTTCTTTACATATTTTTGGAGTTCCTCTTCACGCGGCGGGTCGCTTGGTGAGAGTGCTTGACATCTGATTGCTGTGCAACTTAGCACTGAACGGACGGCCGCGTCCATGGCAGCGCTTGTGTTGAAGGTCACAAAGCCGAAGCCCCGAGAGCGACCACTCTCCTAACAGGGCCCGCTGAGGCTGTGGGTCAAAAAATGTGTGCCAAAATGGACCTGCGGTATATTGTGGGAATAAGGACTAAACCAGCGGTCCCCTAGTGGTCTAATTTTGACCCATAGCCATATGTGGTTTCCAACCCCCCAAAGAGAAAATAGCCCAGCTGAAATACTGCCTCAAGAAGCTGAAGCCTCTCTGCACGGGTGGAGTCCTTGTCCATCATGACCACACATTCTGCGATTTCACCATAGTGAGAAAAGTGGTCCCTGCAGCACACTGCAGGCACGGCTCAGACAGCTATGAAGTGCAAACCTACGTGCAGCTATGTTCCCACTCTGCAGCTACCAGCCCAAGGCAAAACACAGACCTTGCACGACCTTCAAGCCTTAGGTCTCTCAACTCTGCGCCTTGGCATTTGCTGCTTTGCAGCACATGAACTAAACCCACTGGAAATGCCCTAAGCTAACTGCGAGGCTACACTAACTCGTGGCAAAAGGGCTGACTGAAAGGCTAAAGGCTAAAGGCTACTCCGACTAAGATCTGGCACCAAACCCCTGGAAGAAATACTGCCTCTCCTCTTCCGTTTCGGGATTTTGCTGGGCATTCGAGAGGAAGCCAGGGATTTGGCCGCCCAATGTCATGGACTGCCTAGGTGATCTAAGAATCTACCTATCGGATCCGATCATCGCTGATGCCAGCACCTGCTCTTCGAAAAAAATTCGGCATCGACCCGGCGAACGTCGTCCCCCAGAAAAAAACGAGCTGCGAAGCGACAGCAAGGCGAACCATCGCCCGGGCAATGAGCTCGAGGGCTCAGCGCCAGGCTCTAAGCTCTCCCTGGTTGTCGAGCGCGCGAGATTTCCAACATAGACCTCAGCATCGAAATGAGCCTGGCAAAGCAAGCGCAAAAGGCGCCTTGGTTTCAGAGCCCATTGCTAAGCTGGTTTTGAACAAGGAACAGCCAGGCTGCGCAGTGTAGCTGTCTGGGATGATGCGTCTGCAAATGATTTGAGGAGGGAAGCTTGGTCGGATGTGTTGGTGTGTTTGCCTTGGTGCGCTTGGTCATCGCAGATCTGCCAAGCATGCTGGAGCTTGTTAGATTGCTACATGTTCTGGGTAAAGACTAACCTGGAAATGCTGCAGCCACACGGATTGCTGGACATGCTTCTCGAAAAAGGCACCAACCGCCGACAAGAGCTAGTCTCTGTTATTCTGCTGCATATCAACGACTGGCTGCGAGGCTAATAGCCCCTCCTTTGGCCAGCTATGCAAATGCCTACTAAGTGGCATGACCCATCAGACTTCCTTGGAGCTTGTCACGCCTTGGTACTTGCCCCGGCTTCCAGCAGTGCCTCTTTGCACAGGGTATTCCCAGCTTCTGCCGCCGCCATGAAAGGAGTCTGACCGCTGAAGCCCACCTGCGACTCCACGCGAACCTGTATGCCGTATTGAGCCAAAATCAATCCCACCTGGTTGGCGTCTGCACGGAATTCCAGCAGAAGCTTCACCACAGCAAGGCCTCAGTACGTTGGCAGTCTTCCAGGAAAATCACTGTTGAGCTGCAGGCCCTCTGGAACAGGGCAGCGTGCAGCAATTGCGAGCACGCTGCAGCCTTTGCTTGCCTGCGAAAGGGCATCTCCATTGCAGACGTTCTCTGGTCCGACAGTCTGAAAGCCTCATTCGGATCTGCCGCAGCTTGAAGCAGCATGCGAGCGCAGTCCACACCTGGACATCAGCGCAATCCCTCATTCCTACGCCGCGATGCTGCATCGGCAAAAGCCATGGCGTGCTTGCTGAGAAAAGTTGCCAAGGCGCTCCCCCGCTGGCAAGCAGCTGAGAGTGCTGAGAGCTGCGAGCTGCTCGTGTGATGCACATCCGCCTGCGGCTGGGCCGAGCAAACCGACGCGATTCGGGTCTAGCGCCTTGCGCTCCAGGAGCGCGGCTGCCACTTGCTGCTGCCCGTGTCCTCATGCCGACCCAATCGACAGACCTCTCAAGTATTGACCTGCAGACATAGTATCTGTATACCTGACCAGCCTGTGTTGGTTTCAAAACAGTGGTTTCTGACTCTCTTGTTGCACTTTCGAATGTTTTCTCAAGAGGGACAAACAAATCTCGCTGCTACTTGTGCAGTAAATGCCTTAGCATGTTCAAGCAAACCAGCGCCAGCATTTCCTCGCAAGTAAGTGCAGAAGGCACAATTTGGCCAAATGAGCATTCAGACTGTGCGCAGCAGCAAGCATGCAGAACAAATCAAATCACGCGAATGAGCGACTTGGCAAAATACTGAGCAGGTGGTAAGTGACCAAAGAATTGTGTCCAGCAAAAACAACTATGACTGACATGATGGATTTAAGCAACCGGTTCAATGAAAGTGTGACCTACGGTCACAACATGTCACAATAGTATGCGGCCACCAACCACATATCCTGAGCATAAAGAATTGCTTGTGAAACTGGTGCCGCCTTGCTATCAGGGAATGTGCAACATAATGAGCATACGCAACGACACACATTTGCTCTAAGTGCGCTTTGGCGTGGTGCGCTATGAGAAAGGCGGAACGCGGAACCCAGCATCATATATCCCGTCATGGAGAAACCACAGAATTATCACCCCCCCCCCCCCTCCGTCTTGTTGCCTCAACCAGTGTTGGCTTTATCCTGATTCCGCGCGCGGACGCGCTTCAAACAAATGGATGACAACAAGTCGGAAAGGTGACTAAAGCGCGGAGCGAGCAAATAACATAAACTACATGGCCAGCATAATAGGTATACACACGCATAATATATATATATATATATATAAATGAGGCATGGCCAAAATCCAGCGTATGTGTTTGTGTGTGTGTGTGGAGTGACAGAATGCCCTGTCACCACCCTTTCGGTTTCGCAGCAGGGGGGCTGTCCACTGCATGGAAGTGACGGCCCAACGAAGAGGCTTCCATCAGTGCTGATATGGATTCTGGACGCAGAATCCACGTACCTGCAGTGATGAGCAATGTCCTTTTGGTCCCTCCCCTGAACCGCTGTTGCTTCTTTGTCTCTCTGTTGAAGTAGCTAGAGTGAAGCCAAGTGACCTGCCAGCCGATCCAGTTGTACTCGAGACTCATCAGTTGTACTCGAAACTCATCAGTTGTACTCGAAAGATTAGCACTCTCCATCTGGAGTTCATTTGTGTACACCCCATTCGTGGGGAATCCTCGGGTGTACCCATTGTGTGACCCCGGGCCGGCTCTGTCGGAAAATTTGACCTCAACGTGCTTATCATAGAACAGCGGAATTTCACATTTAACCAGGAACGAGGTTTCACTAAAGGGAAGAAAGCCGTCAGTTCATAGCGACGTCTCACCACAGCGGATAGCTGCCGATTTTCATTGCATTTCTTGACCATTGGTTGAACTCGTTGCTCGTATCACTGTGGTTGGTGATTGCTGACTTGTATTTGCTTCCCTTGCGCATGTCGAGTGACCATTGCAGTTGAGGGCTGCTAACTTGCATTTGCATTGATTTGAACGCTTTCGAGTCTGAGTATCTCAAGGAGGAAGTGCGCAAATTCAGAGTCGGTTGCGTCACCATGTCTCGACGGGATGACCGTGATAGATCCAGGACTCGACGCAGACGTGATCGGAGTCCGTCCCCTCAAGCTCACAAAGCACGCCGACGTGAGCACAATGACAACCAGGTCGCGGAGAACATGGATTGGAACAACTTGGTCTCATGGCAGCACAACTCCGGCTACAACGCTGCTAACAACTTTCCGATGATGCCCACCAATTTTCAATCGACTCACAACCCCACACAACAGTTCCAATACCCGGCGATCAACTACATGATGCCAATCCCTCCTGATCCCACGCCATCCAAGTTCATGCCACCAGTGATGCCACCACCGGTCACTACTTCCCAACCTACACCTTCACCTGCACCTCCTGCGGCCCTACCGGTTCGTCCTCAGAAAGCCTGGCTTACTCCATCGCCTGACTGGACACCAGGAGACGGCATGTTTGATGTCAACCAGCTCTACAACTTCAGCCTGCCCATGACTGTTGCCAACAATCCGCATGGCAACCTTCGCGACATGTCCGGCATGGACATCAGAGACGTTCGCCTGGTTCAGGTTATCCACGGGGGCCTCACCAACTGGCTCCTCCGGCCGTTTGCACACGGCCGCTTCGTGACGTGGGAAGGCTTTCGCACCCGCACCGAGGCCTTGCTCTGGAGTACCTGCTCCAAATTACTGCGAAGATCGCAGTCACTTAACCTGCTCACCCTGGAGAAGGACCTTGCCAATACAATGGGTCTCAACATTGATGACTTCAATCAGCGCATCAAGGTCCATGACCATTTGGCCAACTTGGTACTTCAATTTCTTCAACAACATCACACCTCTCTCGCACCCGCTGCCCAGACCGATGACATGGTCAAAAAGTTCAATGATTTGAATCGTGCTCACGAACTTCTCCAGGCTCAGTATTCCGCATCGCTTCGTGCATCGACTTCTCCCACGATGACAAACCAGAAGGATGATGCAGAGTTGGTTACACCACCACCGGTCAACCACACACCATCCTCGTCACCTGCCAGCTCCCTTCCCACAGCCAGCGCGGCCGCCCTGGATGGCAAGTCGTTTGATAGCGTGGTGCAACCTCGGATCATGCAGTCTCTTCACGGAATGTCGTCACCGCCGTCCAAACCGGCGGCGTCACAATTGCTCACCATGCACAGCACGCCGGAGGAAGTTGTCAAGTGCTACACATGGACCAGCGACCAACCACGCCTTTTCCTCAAGCAAGCACCCACAACAACCACTTTGGCTTCGCTGGTTAAGTGGGCCAATCACCCGTCCCGGCTCAACGGCAACAAGTCATTAGATTCTATGGCGACGCAACTTCTTCAGGCGAAGCAACGCATGCCGAAAGGCGATGCTCCCACTCTCGGGGCAATGGCGGCTTCATGGGGATTGGAGCCCGGCTATCTTACCAAACTCACTGAGAAGGCATTGAGTCACCTCATCGTGACCGCTCGCCTGCTCTGTGGATGAGAAAGCATCATGATGCTCTTCGTTCTCATATGAGCCCGGAGCGGCAACAATGTCACGGATGAGTCCAGGTGAAAACTCGCACGTCATGTGTCTGCGTTGCACCTGATTGATCTTGTACTTGCTTGTTCTTGCATTGCTTCTTGTGTGATTGACTGTGATGCTTGTATTCATGTCGCCGCCTTGTGGTAGATTTCGTTGGTTGCATCTCATCATGTTGGATGAACTTCGTCACTGCGGAATCTATGATGATGTAGCACAATGGCAGTCGCTGGACGACCTTCTGCACTCGTTGACCATATTCTCTACGTGCTGGCATTACTGTTTTCCTGGACTACCACCACCGTCGATTCCAATTGAGGAGTACGAATCCATCACACAAATACCGTGGCTGGGTCTCATCCTCGAGGTCTTAGTTGTGGTCCGGATAGCCCTTCAGATTCCGAATCGTGCTATGTCCAGCTCTAATCACACCGTGGCTAACAGATATGAGCTTCACAGATGTCGGTGCGCAGCCTATTTATTGATCAGTTTCTTACAACGTCTTATTTCACAAGATCACGGCTACTTCCCGCCGTTCTTTGAAGTCCTCCACTTCTACAAGACTTCTCTCTTGTGTGAAATCATGCACTCGACTTTCGCTGACACGCGACATCTACGCTCATTGAGGGCGCGATTTCCTGACCTCTATGACTTCATATATGATCCAGGTCATCACCAACAACCGTGCGTCTACATTCGCCTTTCCCCATGGCACACACCATACTATGTTGGGGCGACTGATCAGGATGTGCTACGTCGTGAACACTCACGCAGTCGCAAATTTCTACAACTGCTTCGTGGACGACATGCCTTCTTTGAACCGGCGCTTCACTACTGGAAACGATCCAACACCTACTGGCTCTACTGTGCTGTACCAGTTGAAATCAAACTTCCAGTATCCTCGGTGTGGGTCCAAGAAAGCAAATGGCAATACCTGCTACGCCCGCATTTAAATGCGCCCTGGGTACACAGAATCTTGCGCAAGGTGGGCTTCCGGGAACACCTTGTAGACTTTCGACGCCACTCGTTGTCATCCCCCACTTCCCTCGGCTTGCACAAGCGCTTTCGACGACGACTACATCCGGATCTACAACGACAACTACGACCTGACGCACTGGACGACATTCAAGCCCACTACTCGATTCTCTATCAGCTGGGATCGAATACAGGAGCGTCGTTCCAAGTCATGCGTGACCTACTGTCGGCCGCCTTCCCTCCCACTCAGCTGTACTATTTATTGCGGCTCGCAGTTTTCGTCAACGAACCCTTCCGCTCCAAGGCCCAGAAGCTCCTCGCCCAGGTACTGCGCAAACGACGGCTACAACCACCCTCCACCTTGACACAGCTACTTTTGCCACCGCTACATGTCCAAAATTGGAAAGCTCTACTTGGCACATGGTTACAAAGTTGGATTGCTTCCCATCGGGATCTGTTCCCTTCTCTTTTCATTCCGAAGATCCGGGTTGTGGAAACCCGCAGCGCCACATTGGGCGACAAGATATACAACTATCGCACATGGCAGCGCAAATGGACGCCTGACACATCCTTTCCGTGTCGCTGTTTGGACATCGATGATCCCCATCTACTCCGTGCACATGGTCACGCAGTAATGGTGGATGACTTTTCTCGCATCAATGCGGACATTAACGTGGAAATCATGGCCGCCTCAATGAAGGATCAGTTTTTCGGTGATGTCGACTTATTGCATCAACGTTTCACCGCGCAACTTCGCAAACTTGCTCGACGCTGGCATGTACATGGTTCCGATCTACTTTCAGATCTACAACCGGTCGTGGCTCAGTTCATAGAGACTCATCGGATCAACCTCCAAGATCGGGCTTATTGGTCATCGACATCGTTGCAACGCACTGTGGCCTCTTTGTCTTC